ACTATTGACGATAAATACCCTATTCCAAACATCACTGACGTTTTAGACAAATTAGGTAGGTGTCAGTATTTTACGACTCTTGACCTTGCATCTGGCTTTTACCAAGTCGAGATGAATCCTGAAGACATACCGAAGACAGCATTTAACGTAGAACACGGTCATTTTGAATTTCTACGCATGCCAATGGGACTCAAAAATTCACCTTCGACATTTCAGCGTGTAATGGATAACATCCTTAAGGGTTTACAAAATGAGATATGTTTAGTGTACCTTGATGACATCATAGTTTTTAGTACATCTTTGCAGGAGCATATAATTAATTTAGAAAAAGTATTTAACAGATTGAGAGAGTCCAATTTCAAGATCCAGATGGACAAATCTGAATTTTTGAAACTTGAAACCGCTTACCTTGGTCATATAATTAGTAATGAAGGTATTAAACCGAACCCCGATAAAATTAGAGCCATAGAAAATTATCCTTTACCTAAAACAACAAAGGAAATTAAACAATTTTTAGGACTATTAGGTTATTATAGGAAGTTCATACCTGACTTTGCAAGACTAACGAAACCGATGACTAAATGTCTTAAAAAGACTAACAAAATAACTTTAGACTCTGACTATATCAAATGTTTTGAGAAATGCAAAACCTTACTAACTAACGATCCTATTTTACAATATCCCGACTTTAACAAAGAGTTCATTCTGACAACAGACGCCTCCAACGTAGCTTTAGGGGCAGTACTTTCACAAGGCACAGTAGGCTCTGACAAACCGATCTGCTATGCTTCTAGAACATTGAGTGACAGTGAATTGAATTACAGTACTATCGAAAAAGAACTTTTGGCAATAGTTTGGGCAACTAAGTATTTTAGACCCTATTTGTTTGGTAGGAAATTCAAAATTATTACAGACCATAAACCACTCCAGTGGATTATGAATTTGAAGGAACCGAACTCGAGACTGACGCGATGGCGACTTAAATTGAGTGAGTTTGACTATACAGTGATTTACAAAAAGGAAAATATAATACCAACGCTGACGCCTTATCCCGTGTACAAATTAATAACGAGGAAATAGAGTCACTTCTTAAAGAATGTGGTATAGATGTGTCAGTAAGACCTGAACCACCAGGATCTACTACTGTAACAGCACACACATCCGCTGAAAATCCTATCCTTGAAATACCTATCACAGATGAACCACTTAACAAATTCCATAGACAGGTTTGTTTGACTATAGTAGGTGACATTAAAAGAAGACCGAATGTTACTAAACCTTTTGATACCCATACGCGTACGCATATACAAGTCTCAGAGTCTTCATTAGAACAAGATGTCATAAATGCAATAAAAGAATTTGTCAATCCTAAAATAAAGACTGCTATTAAAATAACTCCACCATTAGGTATGTATTCGATAATCCCAATCTTACAAAATAACTTTAAATGTAACTCTATGCATCTGGTTTTAGTAAAAACCGAGTTAGAAGATGTTAAGGAGTATTTACGGCAGCAAGAAATAATTAAACACTATCATGAAGGTAAAACTAACCATAGAGGTATCAATGAATGTTATTTAGCCTTATCACGTCGTTATTACTGGCCTAAAATGAGGGAAGAAATTACTAAATACATAAATGAATGTACAATTTGCGGACAAACTAAATATGATAGAAATCCAATTAGACCACAGTTTAACATAGTACCACCTGCAACAAAGCCCTTTGAGATAGTTCATATGGACCTATTCACAGCGCAAGCTGAAAAATATCTTACCTTTGTAGATTCTTTTTCAAAATACGGCCAAGCATATCACTTACGAGATGGTACAGCTATAAGTATCATTCAAGGTCTATTACATTTCAGTACTCATCATGGACTACCTTTGACTATTGTGACAGATAACGGGACTGAGTTCACTAATCAACTTTTCGCAGAATTTGTTAGACTTCATAAAATTAATCATCATAGAACACTAGCTCATTCGCCTAATGACAACGGAATTATTGAAAGATTCCATTCTTCCTTACTAGAACATCTTCGTATCCTTTGCCTGAAAAATAAAGATGAACCCACGATAAATCAAATACCTTATGCAATCCTAGCTTATAACAGTTCAGTACATAGTTTCACCAAATGTAGACCACACGATATCATTAGAGGTCATTTTGATCCTAGAGACCCTTTAGATCTTAATTTAGCTGAACACCTTATGCAACAATATATTATAACTCATAGAGACCAAATGAAGACAGTATATGAAATGATTAGCGAAGCTACAACTATTGACCGTACGAATTTAATGACTAATAGAAATAAAAATCGTGAGCCAGAAACTGAATATGTACCCGATCAGCAGGTTTTTATTAAGAACCCCTTAGCAAGTAGACAAAAGCTAGCACCACGATACACTCACGACACAGTTCTTGCAGATCTACCCATACACATTTACACTTCAAAGAAAAAGGGACCTGTTGCTAAATGTCGCTTGAAACGAGTACCAAAGTCATCAAAATTGTTACAGGTACCGACTAATACTGATAATGACAATGACAATGACGAAGGCAGCAAAGATAAAACTTGAGACTCTTGACAATGGACCTGGACTTTTACCCTTTAAACTTGGTCAAGCTAAGCTAATATCTCATTATCATACCTTTATACAATATTTAGAACTTTCAGAACTAGAAAATCGTATTAATTCTATAAATGAACAGTTAGATTATTTTAAAATTCAACTAGATAATATTACTTTGCCTATATATGAAATTCAGATTGATTATCTTTATACTAAATTGTCAAAAATAGATTCGCAATTAAAAACCTTGGAACCTTCTAAAGTAAAAAGGGGACTTATTAATGGATTAGGATCATTAATTAAAGGTCTTACAGGTAATTTGGATCATGAAGATGCTGAAAGATTTAATAAAGCTATAGAGTTATTAGAAGCAAATGAAAATAAATTAGTTTCTGAGTTAAATAATCATATAAGTATTAATAAAAATTGGACGAGCCAATATTCGCAACTTATTAGTAATTTAGCGGAAAATCAAATTAAAATCAATGAAACACTGAAATTAGTTATGGATAAGCATTATCTTTTTGAAGTTAAGTTTGCTAAATTCGCTCAATTATTAGCTATTATTACTGAAAATACAGATGATTTATATTTAGAGCTAATTAGAATAGAGAATATTTTAGGATTTATACGTGCAGCGAGCACGCATCATAGTATGATAAGCATAGATAACTTAGAATACATGATAGGTAGATTAAGAGAAATATATAGTAATAATGAAATCTTAGATATTGATTTGAGAGAATATTATAATCTTATAAAACCAGGTAGTTATTTCATAGGTAAGAGAATTGTTATAATTTTTAAAATTCCTGTAATATCTAAAGATAGTTACGACTTATTTAGGCTTGCCATTGTTCCTAATAAATTCCAACAGACCTTTATACCTATACATCCTTTCATAGCAACCAATGGGAAATATTTCATGTATTTGCAAACCGAATGCCCGAAAGTCGGCGAATACCTTCTCTGTGAGAAAAGCACAAATTATTACCAGCCTCAAGAACACGCAGATTGTATCCAGAGTATTATCATTCATCAATCTTTAGATAAATCATGTATCCCCACTGAAGTCTCCATCACAAGACAAGCTATGGAACAACTGGATGATAGACACTATACTATTGTCTTCCCAAAGACTACGAATGTCGAACTTCAATGTGAACGGCAGGAATATGTATCCTTATCTGGCAGCTACTTAGCAACAATTCCCCATGAATGTTCACTACGAACAGATACCTTTAAGATAACCAATAGTGAAGATGAAGTCAAGGGACAGCCGCTGAAGATCACCGAAATACGAAGTAATTTCACTGAAGTTCAAGATAACGAGATTCCACATATAACTCTAAATTCTTTGAATCTCGATAACTTACATCATCTGGAAAACAGAATTATGCTACAGAATCCCATACGTGTTGCCCACTTTGATTCTTCACTGTACCATACAACGTTGCCCCTCTATGCACTTGTATCTGGTATAGTTATAATTTTCCTTGCCTATATTCTTCGACGATACCTGCGAAAGAACCCTACTACACCAGAAGAAGAACCAAGAAGCAACCCTATATATGCTGTTCCTGATTCTGAAGATCCTGGAGTACCAGCAACATTTTCCCTCAAGGTGCTCAAATAGTTGCTGTTCTGAGGGTGGAGGAATTACATACGGTACCCTAAAGAACTTTGCTGACATCGCGGCACGTGTATGGTCAACGTGCCGGCTTCAAGGAATTACTCTGCTGACACAGTGTTTACCGCGATTTAACATTTTAATTAAATAAAATATGTTTGCCACTCCGTATATATCTAGCATCGATAACGGATGTAATTTTGTAATTTAATTATAAGTTTAAATATAATAAATACCTAGCTAATTATTGGTTTTTTTGGGAGTCCGGGCTGACGAAATCGTAATGTAGTATGTAATATCTTAAAGGTAAATAAAAATAGATGTTTCTATTTTTGGGTTTCATTGCGTGTTTTCTTACAGCACCGAATCTGTATGTTTAACGTAATTATTACTTAATAAGTCGAATAACAGCACTTACTAGCACTTCAACCTTTGAATGCTATTCGTATAGTAAACATTAGAAATGAAACGGAAAAGTCAAACAGAGACTTTTAATAGTCAGGCTATATTATCAATGCTAATCTTTGTATTTTCGTACCTATCGGTATAAATAACGTATTGGTGACTTGTTTAATATATAAAATTCACATAGATATAACATACAAACTTAACGAACCTCCAGTTAGTACAATCTTCAACCGCATGTTTAAAAATAAGCCGTTCACTAGATATGCATAATATTTCTCAGTATTTATCTGATATCCTTTAATTATTGTATGATTTATAATACCCACGATAAGTTTTTTGTATATAATAGATCGTTACTTTATACATATTGTTTTCGGTTGACAATGTACGCGTTTGTTAAATGTGCCATCGTCCTTTGCGTGGCTTTGCCAGGTTAGTTGTTTTACTATATATTGATAAAGTGTGAATTGACACACCGCGTGTGCAGTGTAATTGGAGTGTTTCCACTAATTTGCTTTTAGAACAATGAGCTTTAAATTATCACTTAGATCAACACAATATTAATTTTATTAACTAGACAATTACAAGTCAAATGTAGTAATTGTGTTAAAAATTATATAACTACGGTAATTTTGGCAAGTCACAAACACTATTGCAACAAACTACTTGCACACATACAGGATTTCTACTGTATACGCACATGCAGTTCTTTAAAATTACCTATACAATCACAGCCAGCATGATGTTGGCTTTCCGGATGTACCGCACATACAGCAAGCGAGAAATTTTCTCGCATACAAAACAGTCCACATTCATGATCCATCATTCACGGACTGCAATAGGGAGAAGCGCCATCAACTTCCTGAAGCGTTATTAAATTGAAGCCTAACTTCTCATATTACATGTATAGATCGCTCTTAAAGGTTACCTTTACCTCCTGCGAACGTGCAAACAAATAAAATAGTATTTGCCTTTAACATGTGCACTTCGCTTCCGTTAATACGAGCATCATAAATATGATTTAGCTTTTTAATCTTTACATTTGTTTGCGTTATGATTTATGAAAAAAATGACACAGATAGCTTATTGCATGTTTCTGTGATAATTAAAGAAAATATTTAAGCAAGCGATTTTCGTGTACTAAAGTAATCGAATGCTTTAAATGATAGCATATAACCAATATGACCTTAATTTAAAAATATTGTTAGAATATTTAATAACTCTCAAGGTTGAATTAACAATCATTCATAGTAATCCGTTTATCCAATTTTGATAATGCTATCTACCTTATCCGTGTTTCCTGTGTCTTTTTAATGTAATTTTTATAAAATACAATAATTCACGTAATAATTTAATGCTATCAGACATTTTAATCAAAAATATAATAAAAACATATTGCTCGGTAAGAGTTCATAAAATCTTAAATATTCAATACAATAATAGTTTAATTCATTAACAACAATAATGAATAATGCCAAAACAATTGTTTATCACCAAGACAAAGAAATAATATTGTTTTTCCATAATCCTTACAAGAATGTATATTTGATCTTATCATATCTTATGGTAGAATACTGGGAATGTATACAAGTATAGATTAGAAATTAACAATTCATGACTTATTTATAATGATATTAAAACTAAGAAACAACAATTCTAATTAATATCTTAGAATAGAACCTTAATGTGGCAGGAATAATATAGCCATGACGATGTATTGCACAAGTAAATATTATGTAGCGCTGAACCTGAAAAAATACCGCGGTTGGTCCGAGGAGTAATATTTGTTTATTATATTATTCATGCGACACGACATTTAAATTATTTATTATGTGTTTCCTTGGCTATAATATAGAATTAAACATATTCTAATTTATAATATTTTTTTACAGCGCTTGGGTTTCCCATGACGGTGAATGATGTCGTTTTTCACTTGTTCACAAGGTTTGTTTATTTTTTAAATAAGATATATTTGCCCAGCGCTTCGTATTGGTTGGTCACGTAAATGGCGTATTTGTATTTTGTTTTTATGATGAATTAATTTCATTAATGTTTATAATATATGTTCAAATAATAACATTTATTTCAACTATATTACAGGGCAAACCCAACTACAAGCGAGCCGCTTCTGGCGTCTATAGCGTCAATATCCCAGTCACGTCATTTCTCCAACAGCCGTAGAACAATCTTCGCAATACACAGCTATGGAGAAAACGTTTCTGGAAACTTCATAGCTTTCGTAGCTCCAGGTATCTATATTAATAATATTGTAACCAAACCTTTATACTAAAGTTAACTTTTGATTTAAAAGTATATGTTATGTGATATGTCCTGGGAAAAAGGCAATATTAGATTAAGCACGTTACGTTAACTTTACCTTGATTTAGGATAAGATAATAATAGAGAAGTAAATACTCAGCAACAATTAATATCATACCCGCATGGTTCACTGATATCTAAATGACAAACGGAAGTAATATTAAGAGCAAGCAAGTCTCGACTCTCAAAATTATTTCGTTCACGTTTAATTAAGAACCTTCTATTTCCATACCATATTGTTCATAGCATAGTTTTTATATTTTAGTAATGTAGAAATTTAATAAAAAAAGCTTCTACAAATCTTAATTTCCTTTCTAACGCACTGGCGATAGATTCAAAGAAATTTTGCCCTTAATCTTTTGGAAGTCCATCAGACTGATGAAAAATACAGAAATGCATTAAAATATATTATGTTCTTAGCAGTTTTGGTGTGTGGCTGAATTTTTAAGTATTTTTTAATTAAAAATATTAAAAATGTAATAAAGAAATACGAAATAAATAAATAAATATTCATAGCCCTTCTTGCCGCTGAGGATGTTAACGTCGTCGCAGTAGACTGGCGCTCTGGTTCGTTCGGATACGTCGCTGGCCTCGCAAATGTTCCCCAACTTGGTACCATTGTCGCTAGCTTTGCTAATATACTTTTTACCTCCTTTGGATATAACTCCAACAATGTCCGCATCGTTGGTGTCGGCCTTGGAGCTCACGCTGCTGGTGTTGCTGCTAGAAAGATGAATGCGAACATTCCTCATATTTTTGGTAGGTATTATTCAAATATAGTGCCTATTTTTTAGCACAGTATAGGTTTTTAGTATAGCAGTAATTTGTCAACATTTTGAAATCATAAATAAAATACTTAAACAAATATTTGAAACGGTAGTTTATGAAGAAAATAAAAGTAAGAAACACTGTTTATTTTTATTTTATGCTCATAATAAATCGATACTATAACTAATAAGAAACATTAGAAAATAATAAGGAAAAAGTTAGTTAAATTAAGGCATTCTAATATCTTTCAAAATACGGAATATCGCTAGTATCATATGATAATTTATAAAGCAACAAGGTGTAAATTTTGTATCCTACCTATAAATATTACTCAAAGTTAAAAAGATTAACTAATTTAAAACAATATCTTTCAGCCCTAGACCCATCACTAGTAGGTTGGACTGAAAATCCGGATAAGTTAAGTACCCGTGATGCCAACTTCGTGGAGGTGCTACACACCACCGCTGGAAGATACGGTTATGATCGGCCTCTGGGTCATTTAGATTTCTACGCAAATGGCGGCGTCACCCAGCCTATGTGTGGTGATCTTCCCTCATGTTCTCACGCCTATTCCTACGTATACTACGCGGAGTCTATCGCTGCTGAAGCAGGCGCTGGTGCTAGATTCGTCGGCACTCAATGTGCTTCTTATGAACAAGCTAACTTACTTCAATGTACTGGCACTGGCAATGCTACTTTCGGGGGAATAGCCGCCAAAACTTCGTAAGTTAAAAATGTTAAAAATTGTTTATTATTTTTTTAATACTTGTATTTTACTGATACTAGGCCCATGAGCCGTTCATGGTACAAATATATTAAACCTATCTATTTGTACCTGTTCTATTTATCAATCTTACGACGACTGTTATTTACTATATCGAATATGAACCCAGGCCTACCTAAGTGTTAACATTTGTTTTTCAGAGTTTCTGGGATTTACACATTCATGACAAATTTGCGGCCTCCTTTCGCGCAAGGGTAAAGAAGAGAGATTTTATTAAAATAAAGAGGTTTACAATCAGAAATTGATTTACGAGTTTTATTTATTTAAAAGAAATTGAACTCATATGGTTTTAATTTAAAAATGAGTCCTCCATCCTTAAGGTAGGGCGATCCCCGGCTGGGCATCAATGGACTTTCTTTGTATGTGCGCATTTAACATTCGTTCGAACGGTGAATAAAAATTAGACGTCGTTTGTCAGGCACAAGAAGCATTACCTACTTGCCTATTAGATTTACAAATGATCATGAAACAGATACAGAAATCTGAGACCCAGACCTAAAATGGTTGTAGCGCCACTGATTTTTTTATATTGAATTTAAAAAAAAAACACTTTATTTGTTTTTGATATATTGTAGTAGTTAGAATTAGAAAGAAATTAGTTAAATTAAACTCAAACTCAAAATATCTTTATTCAAGTGGGTAACCAAGTACACTTTTGAATTGTCAAGTTAAATTAATTGTAAATTTACATTTACCAGTTCGCAAGTCAAGGGCGTAGAAAAGGGTTTTTTAGGGATGTCACATTCTGCATAATAAATCGATTTTTTATAATACGATTGTTTTTTTAGCATGAAAAATCGATTATTTTTAAAATTAAAATCGCGTACAAAAATCGATTTTTTTCTATAATTGATTATTTTTTCACATCCCTAGAATTTTGTATCCGTATCCCAACATCAATTTTTAAGCTATTGCATAGATTTTATCGCGGGCTTTGAGCGCGGCGACCGACTCAAGAAATTCCGTATCGAAAATAAAAACCTAACACACGATGACGTAAAGGTGCGCTTACACGAGGGCAATAATTGCTCGGCGACACGAATGGACCGATCTGGAGCAATTAATGGAGCAATTTCAATAAATTCAATAAATTATTTCGGCGATATTGCTTCTAATTGCTCCAGATATTTCATATCGCTCAATGTCGCAGATACGAATTGACGAATATCCAATGGACTTGGAAATTCCTAGCAATTTTTGTATATATCTCATTCGCACTTGTTTGTTTTGCGGCTTGCCGTTTTGCTTCCGCGGGGAGAGCGAGAGGTCTAAATAATAATAATAATTTCTAATTACTTTATTCAAAAGTAATTCAAAGTCTGTTCGTGACATCTAGTAAAGTTTTTGAATAATATATCATCTAATTCTTTACACAATGAAAATTGCGACCAAAAACGATTGCACCCAGATACGCCTATTCCTTTTCTTTCTTTTTTGTTTTTGATTAATAATAAAAAAAGCGCTACAAGCTGCCGCAGCAAGAAAAATATCGTCCATAGCGAGAGAATACTGAATTGCTCGTGTAGGACAGTATTGCCAAGTTGATGAAGTTGCACCATATCGCTTAATATTGTATTGCGCAGTATTGATGCTTGTTGCCGTTGCCGTAAATTGCTTGATGTAGTCGTGACGTCATAGTTGACGAGTATTGACTGGAATTGAACAATTTTAGTTGCCCGTGTAAGCGCACCTTAATACAGGTACGGTCAATACGCGTTAGAGCGGGACAGAACCCATACTGCGTCTCACATCGGTCTGGCGTAATCGGTGACGTAGCGCAGGTGCTTTAGAGTGGGACAGAACGCATACTGCGTCTCACATCGGTCTGGCGTGATCGGTCACGTAGCGCAGATGCGTTAGAGTGGGACAGAACGCATACTGTGTATTTACATCTCTGTTAGAGTGAGACAGACAATATAGGCGTGTTAGTCTGATTCTGGTGGATTGGTAGAGTGGTAGATTGAAGTAATATCAAAGTAAAAAAATATGGCTTATGCACAAACCGTGCCAGAGCCATAAAGAGGAAAAAAAAGTGAAAAAATACTTCTACAGTCCCCGAGAGCCACACGTGTTTTTTTTCAACGTGGTCGAAAACTAGACCATATTTGGCAAGATCCACCCGGTCCCGTCTATGCTTTACAAAGAATAACAATACTTTAAATTGTAGGTAGAAAGTATGGCTGCAGTGGTATAACTTGGAGTGGTTTGTTGGGGAACACTATCTGCCTGGTAGCACGCGCGAGACGCTCCTGCCTTCTTCTCTGTGTAGTAAGACCCGGAGCCTCTGCTGCCCCCTGGCTTGGGCCATTGGACCAATTGGGGCCCATCGATGAGACCACAACGAACCGTAAGTTTAACAACTAAATAATAAATCAGTGGCGCTACAACCTTTTTATGTCTGGACCTCAGATTTTTGTATCTGTTTCATGATCTTTTGTCAATCTAATACGCTAGTAGGTGATCAGCCTTATGAGCCTGACTCCAGCCGTCGACTAGGCCAGTAGACCAACACTGCTTAAGTATTACAAAGCCATTGATAAATATCTCAGTTAAAAATTAACTGACATTTACGATATTACAGCGGAAACATTCCCAATACGCTCGTGGCGGTCGTATAGCGGTGGCGGGTCGGGATGCGCATGGGCACGCCCACACGCCTTATTGGCGGACGTACGAATGTACAAACTAGAGCATTAGGCACATAAAAAAATGTCAATGTCAAAGTATGTTGCACTAAGGAGTTTCCATTATTACTTTTGCCTAGACTTTTACTTCAACCAAGGATGAATAATCTTATAATAATATAATCTGATTATTTTTATATCAAAAGGCTCAAGGCGACAAGAGTTAAGTACATCGGCCGTAAAGCGCTGTCTATGGACAATGTGTCAACCGCTGACACGTATTACATTTATAGTAATCTGTATTACAAATTTAATATTACGTTTATTATTTTGAATATTGCTAAGCACAAAGCAATAGTGATCGTAAAATAGTTACATTATTGATCGATAAAGGCGCTAGTGTAGCTTACATTATATCACAGATTATATACAAACCAGATATTGATGACAAATAGGCTTGGCGGGAAACATCCGTTTTGTTTTTTTTTTTATAAAGTTAAAGACATAAATATAAAGTAATATCAAAAACGGTTATTATGACACTTTACATTGAACTCATTGGATTCTACATCAAAGATATTTGCAATCGTTGATAGAAATATTTCAAGAAATTATCGAATATAGATCTTATAGATCTATATCGAATATAGAATATAGATCTAGGTACGGTATCTGGTGCGTGAATCTTGCCTAGAGAAACTTTTTGGCAGGTTTTTGTAATTATTGTTTAACTTGAATTTTTAAAATTTTGTCAAATAGCCCATGATAAGCTTGAATGTTCAAGAGTTTTATTATTTTATGAACTATTTATTGATAGAAGTTAATTGAAATTAATTAAATTAAATAAAAATCTACTTTTTGTATTATTCAGGAATTGAACCGTCTCCGCCGTGCAGCAATATCTCTTGGGTTCTCCGAGCTTTTGACATGTGTGGGCGGAGCTTTAGAGCGCGAATGTGCGTCTTTAGGCGGGTCTGCCCCACCCGAGTGTGCATTACAACTTGCCCATGCAGCTGCCGCCCTGAGGGATCCAAAGACCGCCCTCGACATAAAACATACCCTACAACCATAGGCTACGGAATTTTCTTCTATGTCACATTAAATAACTGTCAACAAATTGGTTTTTTATTTATATTAAAGCGATTCGCCCTATTCGTCATAATTTACGTATAAAAAACAAGATTTTAAATGATCAAAGACGAAACTACCTACAATTACGGAATTCAGTTAAATATTAATCATTTATTTATGAAGTTATACTTCTTTAGGCGCGTTATGAAAAATTGATGAGAGTGAAATTTTCGTGAAAAAGGTGCGGGCGCATCGACCTTTACACAAAATTAACAGAATGAAGTTGCCCACGGAAGATGCTACGGCATTGGACATAATTTAAAAACAACATTCGAATAATAATAGAATTTATGTTACACTTAATATAAGAGAATAATAATAAATATTTATTTATTTAATTTTTCAAATGTAAACTAAAAGTTTCCTGGCCATTTAGTATCACTAATATCCAACACCCCTATTTCTAGGCGCCTTATTTCTTTAATGACATTATGTAGTTTCCCGTGCTGTTTAAGACTCTTTACGTTCCATGTTCCAATTTTTAGCCTGTGTCGTTGTTTTTGTTCGTGATCCCCTCCGGAGATTCTTCGCACCCCTGACCAATTTAAGGGACGCCGGAGTCTCAGGGCCGTGGCTATATTTGTGCTATCCATGCTTAATGATCAGAGCTGATCAACTAGGGAGTATTATGACGGTGGTTTCCTGTTGCCTTTCGTCATCGCAGATTACTGCCGTACCGCCATCCTAGCTCCGCCGGTAATTCTCGATATAAGCCCATCTCTGGCCTCGATATCGTACTGGCCCTACTGCTGCCTAGCGCCAGGCTGTCGTATTAAGCTCCTACAGCTGAGCTTGCCTCTTCCGCCGATGTCACCGATGTGATCTTCTAGATCTAGGCCTTCACCGCTGTTAAGGTCTTCACCTGTAACCCTAGGCAGGGGACAACGTTATACCCCGTGGTGCTTCCCTGAATTCGGCCATCCCGAGCCTACTAGAACACTCAATGCGCACCCCCGCGGCTTGGACGCCCCAGAGAAGAATTACTCAAGTGGCCGCCAGAGAACGTGACTCTGGTGACCCTTGAGCCGGGTTAACGGTTTTGTATGTTACCAAAACCGAGGGCTGAGGCTGTTGATATAAAGATCTATTGATAATATGTAAGACTCAAATGTATTTTTGTTTTGTTTAAAGTATCTATTGCATTGTTTTATAATTAAAAGCAGACTTAATGTTTTAAGGGTATAATTTTAGTTCATGTATGTATTTTTTTATAAAAAATAAAATATAATATAAACTTTGATTAATTATTTTGATAAATTATGTAAAACTTATCATATTTTATTAATTATAGTTGGTATCAAATGTCAATAAAGGACAAAGTCATCCTTGGAGTGGTCATTTAGAAATTAAAATAATTGATAAATCATATTTATACAGTCCGGTTCCGGCGGTCAAACTGTTAACATGTACGTCAACGTCGTCCGCGGATTTTAATCGTAAAATAGTGTTTTAAAGTGACATTTTCGTGCTGTGAAACGTAAAAACATTAAAACGAAGTTCATTAAACACAACTAATAAAAGAACACAGTGAGAGTGCTTAAATATCGTGCGATAATTGTTGAAAAACCCCTTCAGAATTATAACCTCAAATTAATAACGGTCATAGACAATAGACTTGTCTCAGCTTAGCTTAATACCAATACCAACATTACGCCATTGTGACAGTGACATTGACAATAGTAGTGTTGCCACTCAAAAGAAATAAAAGCTGACAACCAGTGCTACCACACAAGAAACGAAATTTCCCTAGTCATGGACAAGAACATGGAACTACTTCTAAACAAACTCGATGAGAAATTTAAAAATCAAACCGAACTTATTTCATACTCCGTAACTAAGAGCGTCATGGAGGCTTTAGACGAGAAAATGAAAACTATCACTGAGGAAAATACTAAACTCAAGAACAAAATTTCAGAACTGGAATTTAAACTCCAAAGAGCAGAGATAGAAAAGAGAAAAAACAACCACGTCTTTTTTGGAATCAATGAAAATATTAAATTAGAAACGGAGTTAGTGGATTATATCAAAGAAATTAGCAAAGTATATAGAATTGGGCAGAAAACTGACAATAAAAACCGTCTAGTGATAGTCACCATCACAACTCAATGGAAAAAACATCTTATACTCAAAAATAAGCCTGACCTTCCACAAGGCGTCAACATAAAAGAGGACTACCCCAAAGAAATCCTAGACAAACGCAAACAACTGCAACCGCAAGTAGAAGAAGAAATAAAGAAAGGAAATATCGCCTATATAAAATTCGACAAGCTCATTGTAAAGAAGCCGAAAGAAAATAGAGAGAAGAGGAAAAGAGAAACTTCCGACTCTTGGTGAGTCGGAAGTTTCTCTCAGGCACCATTAGAAAAGAAAACTAACAAGAAAGCAATATTGAACAATCCATCATCCAAACTACCCAAAACACATACCAGAGATATCTGAAGACCCAACATACTAAACTATGTAGAAAGAGCAAGCTCTGATCCACAAATAAGTCTCTCAAAAAAACTGAATATGCCCCCGGACCACCGGAACCATCATACACCAACAATGAATTATATACACAAACAATCAAAATAAATATCTTCCACCACGGCTGATCCCCGCGGAAGACTTAGACCATCACCCTCTAACAAGAACAAAAAACAAAAGGAATGAGAACTAATTATACATAGCAACTCTAAATACCAGAACTTTACGAACACCAGAATCTTTATCGGAACTCGAAGAAGCATTGAAGGACCTAAAAATGGGAAATTATCCAAGCCTATGCTCCCACGGAACAAGCAAAAGAACCTGAACATGAATCTTTTTACAATGAACTATCCCAAGCTATTATAAGTAATTACTCAAAAAACATAATTGTACTAATGGGAGATTTTAATGCTCAAGTGGAAATAAACCAATGTAAAGAAGAATATGTGTTAGGAAACTTTGGCTACGGCAAAAGAAGCAAAAATGGACAAAGGCTGATTGAATTCTTATTAGAACACAATCTAACCCTCCTAAATAGCATTTTTAAGAAAAACAAAAACAACAAGTGGACTTGGATCTCTCCAGGCGGGAATCACAGAAACGAAATAGACTATATTATAAGCAGCCACCCAAATCTATTTACGGACACAGCAGTTATATCAAAATTAAACTTTAACGAAACTAGGAAAGCCATACTAAGTCAAAAGTTAGACAAAGCACCAGGTCCTGATAAAATCACAAACGAACTACTGAGAGGAACCATAGAAGAACTGGTCCCCATTCTAACTAAAATCTTCAACGGCATCCTGAGATCGGGACAGGTTCCAGAACAATGGGAGACATCCCACATCATTCTCATACATAAGAAAGGAGAAAGAGATGACATAGGGAACTACAGACCGATAAGTCTGATGTCTAACATATATAAAATCTTTTCCAAAATAATTTTGAACCGAATAAGCAACACACTTGATGAAAACCAACCGAAGGAACAAGCTGGCTTTAGAAAATACTTCTCCACAATAGATCCCATCCACATAGTCAAGCAAATTATGGAAAAATATAATGAGCACAACAAACCGCTATATATGGCTTTTATCGATTATTCTAAGGCATTTGACAGCATTAGCCACACAGCCATATGGGAAAGCTTACAGAACCAAGGAATCCCGACAGTGTACATAAACACCATTAAAAACATTTACTCTAACAGTAAGGCAAGAGTACAAATGGAAACCTTGGGTGAAACATTCCGAATAAAAAGAGGCGTCAGACAGGGCGACTCGATGTCTCCAAAGCTGTTCTCTGCGGTGTTGGAAAACATATTTCGAAAGCTAATATGGGACCAACATGGATTAAATATAGACGGTAAAAAACTAAACCATCTTAGATTCGCTGACGATATTGTTTTATTTGAAGAACAACCAGGGAGCCTAGAAAAAATGATACAAGAACTAAATACAGAGAGCAAAAAAGTGGGCTTATCTATGAATAAACACGAATATAAACAAAACGAAGCTATTAACGAATTCAAACAAATATGAAATAAAAATTAACAACCAACCCGTTGAATATGTAGATGAATATATCTATTTAGGACAAATCATCTCACACACAGACACAACTACAAAAGAAATAAAAAGACGAATAGCTAACGGATGGAAGAGATATTGGTCACTGAAAGAGATCATGAAATCCACAGATCTGAGTACTGGTATCAAAAGGAAGGTCTTCAATACCTGCATTCTCCCATGTATTACATATGGGTGTGAAACTTGGGCTCTCACAAAACATCACAGAAACATGCTGGAACACTGCCAAAGAGCTATGGAACGAAGTATGATAGGTATTAAGAAACAAGATAAGATACGAAACACTGTCATAAGAAGTATGACAAAAGCCACAGACATACTCACTAGAATAGATAGTTTGAAGTGGAGATGGACTAGGCACATGATACGTGATAAACAAGAAAAGTGGAGCAACATCATAACTGACTGGGTCCAAAAACTGCAGTCACCCAAGAAAACGTTGATGCTGTGCGTAAGCTGATTGAGGAAGATCGACATGTGACATACCGCGAAATTCAGGCAACTTTAGACATTGGCATGAGTCAAATACAAATAATCTTGCATGAACAATTAGGTGTAAAAAAGTTGTTTTCCCGATGGATACCGCATTCGCTCTGTGAAGAGCAAAAAGCGGCTCGCGTTACTTGGTGCGTCAGAACTCTCGAAAGATTCCACGCAGGATCCTCAAATGCTGTATACAACATCGTATCAGGTGACAAATCCTGGATATACGCGTACGAACCCGAAACAAAAAAACCAGTCACGAGTTTGGGTGTTCGAAAATGAGTTAAAGCCAACGAAAATTGTTCGTTCACGGAGTGTTGCAAAAAAATGGTGGCCACGTTTGTCTCCAAAACCGGCCTACCTGTATGTGTACCGACAATATAAAACTACGACTACCGTAAATGTACTACCGACTATTCCTCTTGAGGTACAAAGAACGGTTAATGCAGAATGGTATGCTAGCATTTGTTTGCCTCAGGTCGTTTCTGAACTCCGTAAAGAGAACTGCAACCGCCGCATCATCCTCCATCACGACAATGCGAGTTCTCACACCGCGCACAGAACAAAAGAGTTTTTAGAGCAAGAAAACATAGAATTATTAGACCATCCGCCGTACAGCCCCGACCTAAGCCCTAATGATTTCTATACTTTCCCTAAAATAAAGAATAAATTGCGTGGTCAGAGATTTTCATCACCTTCTTCCACACACCACAGCTTCTTCAAGCTGTGGACGCCTACAAAACGGCCATTTTGGAGACCCCAACTTCCGAATGGAATGGTTGCTTCAATGATTGGTTCCATCGTATGAAAAATATGTCAAATTTCGCGGAGAATAAAAGCAATAAATGCATTTTTAAATAGTAATGTTGTGTCACTTCCTTGATTCTCGAAATTTTCAGTGCCGCCCTCGTATGTACGTACGTACACTTTACATATTATAGCATTTTAATAAAATTAGGTAATTATTGACTCTTATAACTATTATTTATCTTTATCTGTATGACAATAAATCTATGAGCTGTTGTATGTTTATGACATTAAAAGATGTAAACTTTGGGTTAATTGAAGCCGGGTAATCTAATATATAAAATTCTCGTGTCACAATGTTCGTCCCCATACTCCTCCGAAACGGCTCGACCGATTTGATGAATTTTTGAAGTTATACTTCTTTAGGCGCGTTATGAAAAATTGATGAGAGTTAAATTTTACGATGCGCGCGCACCGTTACATAAAATTAACAGAATGAAGTTGACCACGGAAGATGCTACGGCATTGGACGTAATTTAAAAACAACATTCGAATAATAATAGAATTTATGTTACACTTAATGTAAGAGAATAATGATAAATATTTATTTATTTAATTTTTCAAATGTAAACTGAACTTTATTGACTAGAATGACTCCTTTTCCAGTCTTTGATTATTTAATTGTAATGTTTGCATGCAATCAAAAACTATTTTTAATAATGCCAAAGAAGTATAACTTCTTACGCGCGTACATAAGTACACGCACCCTTTTTTTATGCATATTCAGTAAGTCTGAGAATCGGCTACTATCTATCTTTCAAACCCTTAAGTGATAAGGGGTATCCACCCCAAAATTTTCTTTTTAATTTTTAGACAATTTCTTTTGTTTGTATGTTTTTTTGAATTATGGTTATACATCCTCAAATACGATACCAAAATATCGCTGGTTCATATGATAGCCACATATGGGTAATCTTTTATTGATTATGAATAAAATTGTAAATAAGTAAATATGTCCGATCGTTTTTGCCGGAAGTCTGGATCTCTTAACACAATTTTCGCCTGACCATATGAAAATTGTCCCCAGCTTTAGTTTGCTATGCAGACAGCTTCGAGTATCTACTCCGACTAAGCAATAGCATTAGAAGTGATGGATAATCACATTGGGGCCTTTGTATAAAAGTATCAAATTTTAAACAAAAGTTCGAATGCCTGTTCTATTTCTAAATAACGATTTAATTTATTTATAATAAACTGTTAAGTAATTGAATCTTACGATATTTTTAATGTTGTAACACCAACCGAAATAAAATGTCTAATCAAATTATTTTTTGAATGACTGAGCAGCATTAATCATTGATTCCGGAAAATGGGATAGTAAGGAGTTGTTTAACTCTTAAAATTAGCTTTCAATCTTATTTTATTTCTTTAAACGTATGTTGATAAATTTAACCGAATTTACTATGCAATTAATCAAACTATTGCTCGAATTTTTTATCAGGCACATATTTTTATGACTTGTGTATAAATCAGTTATCATAATCAAAATCTAAAATTCTTAATGATTGTCAAAATCATAGTCCAATTGTAGAATAATTTTGTTTTCTTTAAAAATAACAACGATATCAGTGATAATTTTTTCATGGATTACATACATTAATCATATAAGATAAGCATATATTATCTGACATTCTAATAATTAATTTGAATTCGAACATATTTTGATATACCTGATTCATTATACGAGTAACTGTATAGCTTCAAAATGATTAAAATTGTTTTAATAGTATTAGGGGTGTCTTCTGTTTTAAGCTGGGGTGAGTTAAATTGCATTAAATTTGTTTTTATTTAGAAGTAAGACTGAAGCAAAAATTGCGAATCAGAGTCGCCACTTACAGTAAATTTATGATTATTAATATGTTGTTAAATAAAAGTGAGACATAATTATCTTTCTATTCAATAATTATCAATTGGTTTTTTCTTTATTATTTATTCATCGACCTTTCAGGTTTTTTAAATTTGTATTTCCAAAACTTAATTCGCTATTTTAAAAACCATCCTGATTTCTTAAAAAATCGTGTACCGCGGCGACTAATGCGTCATCTTTAAATGTATAGCATCTGAGATGGATTTCAATAACCACTACACTAGGTTTATGGAATAAGAAGGATGTTTCATCAATTTGAAGCCATCTTGAATGGCAGCCATTATAACTCAGCCCTGCGATTCTGTAACTCACTTTTCGAACTCACACAGCGGTTTTCGCATCGGCGGTCGCTCTCAAATCAGTCGTGAAGCAGTCATTTTATGATTTGGCATTCTGAAAAGGTGGGAAATTGTAGTTTATTGTTAATCAGAGATTGAGTTCGAAAAGTGAGTTACAGAATCGCAGGGCTGGCCTTATGCGCGGAGGCGATATCTTCTTTAGCCAAAAGTCAAAAGACAAAAATCATTTATTCATATATGTAACACAATGTACACTTATGAACGTCAAAAAATAAATATACATTAAATGCTTCTAATTTTACATTTACTGCCAGTTCTCAAATCAAGGGCGTAGAACGGAAGAGAATAACTGGCAATAAACTCTCCGCCACTCTTTTTAATCGCCAAGTTTTTTGCTTTACACAACTTTTGTAAGGAGCTGCAACCATTACACCATGTTCTACAGGACATAAACTAAAGAAATTAAAAGATTTGTTCTTTATCAGCAAGAGGCATGGTGAAATAGGAGCACGCACTTACATTCTCGTGGAACAACACGCAAATACATAGTCGAAATAACTAACATCACCATCACCATCATACACGAATTCAAGTACGACCAGTCACCACATGTGGCACCCGTTCACGAGTATGACGCATGGCCAGCCATCGGCTTCCTCGCCATATTTTAGGGAGAGATACAACCCGATCATGGACGCCAGTTTGCTATGCCGTTGCTTGCGTATTTCCTTATGCAACTTTGTTATTTGTACTTACCGGCGGTAAACCTTAAATTTCTTCGGAGATCACGGTTTCTTTCTTGTTAGCCATGGACTGTCCATGAGTCCTTAGTAGTGAATTGCGCCAATAATGGGTAAAGATCTTGTTGTAACAAATCCAAATAGGTTTGTGAAATTGTCAGTGGCGTTTTTTCTCCGTGTAAGAAAGCATTTTGGGCATCCGGCACGCTTTTTCATATTTTTCACGTAATATTATTATGGACACACCCTGTCGAAACCTTTATTTCCCCTTCTATAAAACAAACAGTTACACAACGTTCTGCCAAGACAATGTTTTCAACTTTTTTAATCTAATATTACATGTAAGGTCTGGGCTATCCAGTATTTATTTTTTCTACTTTCCAAGGAGAATGTATCGCTTTATTACTATGTATTGAACGCCCCCCAATTCATGAAATAAATTAAAACCTTTCAGCGCTACCAACAAACCTTGGTGAATTGAATTTACCTAAATATCAATTAGGTGCCGATAATATCCAAATAGTTAGTTATGATGCAGAAAATTTTAATCCCGATGTTACAAATCAGTACCATCTATTTACAAGGTAAATTGGTTATACCGTATTTTTTAAAATTTATTATAAGATAACTTTGAAAATAGAGGTTTGGCATTGTATTATTGCATTACCATTTATTGAGCAACATAACACATATGAGTTAGGAATCGCACTTTATGCCGTGATATATATGAGATTTATAATAAATTGAAGCTTTTACAGTTGTTAGTACTTACTAATACTGTGTTACTCAAAAATCTGACAAATAGTTGTAAGAAAATAACGCGTGCACGTTTTCAGTAGATTAGATATTATATAAATAAAACACAGCGCAACTCAGATACAACATTTTAAAACCGCGTGGTTAATGGTTATTGTAAAGATTAATTTTTTTTTAATTGTAAAGTTATACCGTAGTCCGTAAGGACTCAAACGGTCTTTGTCTATTAATGAAGATCTCTGTTTTAAAGAAGGTTTCGAATATTAAAACAATTATAGAAGGCATTAGCTGGATGATCAAATATACTAAACTTATCACTTTCTGAATGTAAAATACATGACGATCTGTATATTTCTCAATTTTAGGTCAAACCCTTCGAGAAGTCAGCCTTTGGTTATCGGACATAATAATATCCTATCACAATCCAACTTTAATAATAACAAGAGGACTGTGTTTCTTATTCACGGATGGTTCAACTCTGCTACCTCAGATTTCAATAGAGAACTTGTCCCAGGTAAAGAAATAGAAATAGTTTTAATTCAATCAATACCAACACTATTCGTATAGTGCAATTAGCCCTTATTATCTTAGATGGTAAGAATGTAAAACAAAAGACGAACGTTGGTTAATATCGTTTGACTATGATTTAGCAAACGCAATCACGGATAGTATCGCGTGCATGTGATTGGATTTAAGATGCCATTGGCGAATCACAATCAAACAAAACACGTTCCTCCTCGTTTAATAATTTGATATTGCTTTTAGTGTTACTGTCTGCCGATGACCTAAACGTTATTGTGGTGGACTGGTCTACTGGAGCAAATTCACTAAACTATAGGGTCGTAAATGCAAACGCTGTGAAATCAGGTGAAGCTGTTGCAAGATTCATTGCCTGGTTAAGCCAACAAAGTGGGATAAGTTTGGAACAAATTCATCTCATTGGTCATGGACTTGGAGGTCACCAAGCTGGCGCTGCAGGGAGAGCTTCTAATGGAAAAATCGGTTATATTACAGGTATGATGGTCGTAGGTTCGATCCCGTCTGTGTGCCAATGGACTTTATTTCTATGTGCCCATTAAAGCGGGCCATAGACGGACCGCATGTTGCAGTCAATACCGACTGCAATGTGCGGTTTGCTCAGGAACTGCTCGAGCGGTCCGTGTATTGCGAATATGAATTTAGCATGGAAACTGCACATCGCCGTGCGGCGACCGCATATTGCAGTCAGTCGCATATTACATTAACTCACAAAGAATCTTTATAAGTAGACATTTTTTATTATTTCAGGTTTAAATCCCTCTTTAATTGGCTGGGTTACCAACATTGATCGACTTTCTCCCAATGACGCATTATACACAGAAGTGCTTCATACAAACTATGTACAGGGTTATATAGGCGACTTAGGACACGTTGATTTCTATTTTAATGGAGGAATATCAATGCCCGGGTGTGACTCAAACGAATGTGATCACGACAGAAGCTTCTTATACTTTGCTGAGTCGATAGTGTCAGGAGGTTTTACAGGAAGGGAATGTTTGAACTATTACGCCGCTGTTTTAGGGATGTGCGATTTCCACCCCGGACGTCTTCAAATGGGCGGCTTATATCCCAAAAATGGGTAAGTTATTTTACTCTTTATTGTTGTTATAAAATACCTAATATTCAAGATAAATTTTCATAAAATTTAAGTTTAAATAAGAACTTTGAGGTACATGCTGGACCATTACGAAGGGCTCTGAGCTAAAACAAAAATATATATTTATTCTTTATTAATATTACTTTAAATATATTTTAGAAAAACTGGTGTCTACTACGTGGAAACGAACCCTTCCTCACCATACTCACAGGGATAATAAGGTGAAATCCAACACTGGATGACGATGAAAAATAAAAAAATAAACATTTAACACCTTTATTTATATACCTAGTTAACATTAAAGCAATAAATAGGACAAGAAGTGTTACTTCAGCTTAAGATCATCATTCTAGAATTATCATAAGTCTTGAAAGCTAGAGCTTGGCAAGCAGAGCTTAATACTACAAAATGCTTCTTTTGTACTTTTTTAAATGATTATATCACAGATGATTAGGATGTTTTAGGTATTTAGGCCCTCGTCTTTGAGTTGCTTCAGAGGATGTGGGTGGGGCCACAGTTGTTGTAGAGTTACGTTTAGCTGGTATATCTAGAAGGCTGCTGAGAAATGCTACACCTTGTTCTGCGGTTTGGTAGACACTGGCTAGGAAGGATTCGGCATCGAATGTGTTGTCTTCCGTTGAAGATTCCTCAGTAGTCCTGTAGGAAATTAAAAAGCAATTTTTCGAAAATATTTATTTAAAGACAAATCCATAGAATTGGTTATAAAACATATGTAGTACATCCTACAATAAAATGCATTAGGGCCAACGTAATAAACTTTTAAAAAAACTAATGTTGATAATGGCTTTGGTAATAGCACAAGCTGTTACTACTTACGATTCTCCTTCAGGCTGGGCAGGTGGGTCTTCCATTTCCATTCCACCAGGAGTGGACTTGAAACAGCCAATGGGAAATTCTAACTGTCTCTCTCCTAAAAGTCTAGGCTCCAACTCAAGGCATCCCCTAAGACCGTCAGCGGTAGGTGCCAAGTCACTGAATTTAGCACACACCTGGGCAAACTTACCAAATACTTGAAGGCATATAGGTGCCGGATTGGTACCTAAAGGAAGACTATAAGTTATTTTGAGAAACAAATACACTACTTTCTATGTGTAACAGATAAAAATCGTAAAATTCATGAATATTGAAGATGATTTAGCATCTTTGTTTTGTTTAAAATATTAGTTCTTATAAAAATTTAGGAGTACTAGTTACAAGTACAGGTAACAACAATACCTGTAATGGGAGATTGTAGAGAACTTTCGCATAATAAATAGGTTTATAGTCGATAGGGTTGCGGTTTATATTGATTAAACATCACATTTATTATTTATATACATATAATATTTTATATTTCATCTTTAATTGACGTCATATTATATTTATTTTTAATATACAAAAACAAGTGCTTATTAGCTACTCTGTTATTATTAAAAAACACTGACATTATTTATGAGCTTAAAGCAAAAAGCTTTCTAAATAATACGTTGATACTGGAAAGTCAACTTTCTACTAATAAACCTGAATAAATAAATGTTTTATTAATAAAGTTATCGATCATTTACCTTGTATTTTTGAACTATGTAGTAAATTTTTGCCGTAGGACACGTTGACTGAAAATCCATCTTCAGGAGATAAGTATTTCATGTGAACACACCCTAAATACAGAATAAAATTTATATTAAACAAAGGAATCAATAATTACAATTAAAAACAGGTAGTTAAATTAGTAACACAATTCATGAGGATAAAAAATTATTTCTTGATTATATAAAAGTAGTCTATTAAACGATATTAAGAAATATGTTATGCCTAAAGGGACTCCTTTTAATGATATATTTTAGTTTATGTTAAGTTTAGTTATTTATTTCAATGTATATTATTTTATTATTATATAAGTGATATTATAATAATAAGGTCTTTAAAAGAAATATATTTATTTTTTCACAATAAGTTCGTGAGTTAGTGAGAAGATTCTGATCTCTGAATTCAATAAAAGTATCAATTATAAAATGAATAAAACATTAAAGTTACTACATTGAAACCACAATATGAGACTTGGTTTCAAGCTTTCAAGCTTTACCTGGTCCTCCTAGATCAACAAACGTTATGTTGAAATCCACACAGCAGACACAAGCTGGGCCCTTGCAAAGGCAGTTTCTATTAGGCTGGTCATTCCTGAGCTCTGGTACTTCTATCAACTTCTTACCATCTTCCCAGTCTAGGAAATCTATAGAATATAAATATTATTTTAAACTATTATGGTAATAAAAAAAGGTCATCAAGTCAAACTTAAACAACTCAATTTCTATTAGGTGTAGGTAAGTAAACAGTTTGTAAAAATAAATGATATAAAACGGTCCAATAAATAAATAAGGTAAGGTATCCGTGATAATGAATGTCTTACAAAAACCGAAAATTTTATCAGCCGTAGTTACCCAAGACAAATCAAGCATAAAAAAAGCTCCAAAAAATTAAAAAGTAAGTTTAATAAAAAATATGATAGCTCAATAAGATTGCACTATAGACGTGAAAATGTTATATTTAAACAGTCTTCAAGAAAACTTTCCATTACATTATACTTGTCACGTCTGTCATAAATATTCCAAAAGAAAATGTTTTCACAATCAATACCGATTATGACGCATAATACATATTAATACCTAATTTGGAACTCCGTTTTAGGTAGTCTCTTAATACTTTCACATACACTTTCACTGCGTGCAACCACGATAACTAGCGGTCATTGTTCGCTGCGAAGGACCGAGAGTTCGTTATGTAACGCTTAACTTTTGTTATGCTTATTCGTATTACGAAACTACATTATTTTGTATTCAACTTGGGCGTAACAAAAAATATTTCAGAGTTTTCTGTAGATAGTAATGAGATAATTGAGCGCGTAACATATGTTGTTATTATAATATTATTATTAATATACGATATTAATTATTTCAGTTTTGAATCAAGATTACTTTAAATTTAATAACTTTTTTAACGTTAAAATTATATATATAATTAAAGTGAAATAATGCACGTATTTAGTTTGTTAGAATAAATAATTGAATATTTGAAACTTACCTAAGATACTGGACCCATGTGCTAATGCAATAATTGCGAGGAACGAAAATGTTAATTTAAACATTTCGTGATAGGCCGTTATATTTACACGAAAAACGAATAATAAATGCGCGGTTACGTCTCGAATGAGGCGACGTTGCCAGAGCTCAGCTAACACTGCTCCTTGCCTCCGATCTCCGGCCGTTTCACCTCGCTTACTATCACAATAGACGGTGAAATTCAAAATAAAGCAATATGATCATGCACTGAGATGCACCGAGAAAGCTGCGCTTTTAATTTTTCAACTTTATTCTCACAAAGAATTTTCGCTTATTATTCACGCAACAATATTTTATCCTCTTCATTCCTTTGACTTGAAAGATGCAAGAAAAAAACTAAACGAAAGGTTATATGTATAAAATATTTTTTTTATATTAAAAAGTATGTCAGTTATTAGTAGTTTTCTAATAATTAAACGTTTTAAACCGAGAGAGCTGTAGGCATATAATATATAAGAATGTAACTTCGTTTATGTATTTTTATTCTAGAGTTGCTCTGTATTGTATTGTACACGGATTCTAGCAGACAGTGATCCACTGCTCTATAAAGAGGTCATTGAACTTGAAGTAAATTAATTCATACCATTAGTATCTATAATAGGACAAAATAGAGATTTGATCAACCAATAGAATAAGTCAACAATATTGGCCATACAACAGTATGTAACAACAACAACAGAAGTATGTTTTAAATTTATAATTAGACAGGCCTATCGATCAGGGAAAAGGTAACTCTTTTCTCTGTCTTTTTATTTAAATACTAGTCTAGTGAGCTCAGTAAGTTTAAGGAATCATTAAACTTCTTGCGCTAACAAATAAAAAAGAAAATTTGTTCGAGTGTATATTTTCATGCACGCTAAATGCATGTTATAAATATGTATAGGCTTATAATTCGGAAGTTTGATTGAAATGCGCTCGTTTTTATACAATGCGGTATTGGCGTAATAATGATATAATATATTTATTCACGGAATGTTAACCAACTTTTTATATCGTTACATATTTAAAGAGTATCATGATGAAGACTTATATAACACAGTCAAAACATATATTTTTATCTCCTGTTACATATATTCAAATCCCTTGCGTGACCTACCTGTTTTAGTATAATGTGCTTTCACATTGACTATATGAATGTAGACTTAAAGGGTTTATATGTAAAATGAAAACTTACATTTCTTAGATATTATTAAAATGTTTAAAATATTATATTAATTACAATTTAAAAAAATACGCGTTTATGCTAATAAAGCTTCTAGAATTTTCGACGTATTTCATCAAGGTAAATATGAATAACAAAAACGAGACTGTAGTCAGACGGAACAAACTTTCTCTCAGTAGAAAGTGACCCTAGTAGTTGTGGCTGACTTGATAGGCGCTGTGTTCTTTATTATACACATATTCTTCTCAACTTATAATAACCTTATTGACATTTATTTAAAATATGATTAGCTAAATTACAATGATGATAAATCCTCGGTATTAAATTTGTGCATCTGTTTTATTTATACTTTTTTCTTTATGTACTATAATCAGCTAAAAAGAAGACTGTATTGGTCACAACGACTCGAACTCAACGAACGTTTCGAGGATAAGATTCGAATCCTTAATGATAAACTATGATTTATCAATGTAAAAGAATTTCCATACTATTTTTTATATTTAGATTTATGCTTACAAATCGTATTAATTTCCCAATGACGTATAACATTTTTACAAATGAAATTTCTATATCTGAAAGAAAAAACGAATCGCAAAATAGATGCATTTCCCAATCCTTGATCATTACATTGTAAATTAGTCCGTGTGCTTGACACTGAATTCTACATAAGCGGCCAAGTGAGTCAACCCCTCCCTCACGATGTCTATACGATAGATAGAGATAGTTGTTCCTTGTTTTCTTGTTTTCCTTTCTCGCACGTCACTTCACATTTCTTTCGTCGGAGTTGTTATATGGAATCAGTGCTGCATACGTTGGCGACGCCTCTGTTTTAGGGCTGGATAGTTATTTCTAATAATTACATTAATTGGACGTGAACCGCCAGACGGGTGTGACTTCGGTTGAGATATTTTTATTAGTTTCAATTTGGGTTATAAATAGAAGTTTACGAGCAACGTAAGTTTTTTTTATAGATATTCATATGATATAGTTTATTTAATAAATTAAAGTAATAGTATTAAGCGGTTATTTATAAGTGTTTAATATTACTATTATAGTGTTTTTGTTTTTTTAAAATGAAAATGCATAATAGCGAGTTCCTACTAAAGAATTCAACGCGCTAGCTGCACGCGTTTCTATTTATCAATTCAGAATGTTTTCCTTCATAACATTCTAATTAAATGAGCAAGAACGAAAACCTTCAATTTAATTTTTATTTATGTTATACTGTTTTATATTAAGAGCTTTTACATTAATTTCAGGCATGGTTGAGCTCCAAGATGAAGCTCTCCCTGATTTTTGAACTTCTGATGATATTTGTGCTTCTTGCATTTGCCGCGTCAAAAAATATCAGTGAGTATTTCAACTATTGTTAAATACGCTGTTTAATTAAATATAAACAAAAATCTCTTTAGGTCTGGGCCTCAGATTTCTGAATGTGTTTCATGATCATTTTTCAATCTAATAGGCAAGTAGGTGATCAGCCTACTGTGCCTGACACACGCCGTCGACGTTTTGGGTCTAAGACATGTCGGTTTCATCACGATGTTTTCCTTCCCGTTCAAGCGAATATTAATTGCGCACATAGAAAGAAAGTCCATTGGTACACAGCCGGGGATCGAACCTACGACCTCAGGGATGAGAGTCGCACGCTGAAGCCACTAGGCCAACACAGCTCTAATTATTGAATGAATATATCTTAACATAAATGTGTCATTCAACGTGGATCATATAACTATCGATTGAAGAAATCAAGCAAAATTACATAATAATTATTCGTAATAGTAACAAGGTGAAAGTGTATTGATTAATAAATTAAATACTTTGTTCATTTTATATTCGATTTTGTAAATATTTTAAATTCTTTTCTTTATAGATAAAAATAGGAACAATGTAAAAGGACTTCGGAATAAGGAAGATGACAATATTAAAATCGAAGACAATAGCTTGAATAGATACTGCAAATGTTCGGAATCACTGTGCAATTGTTGCAGAGATTTTTCAGTACCAGTTGTTAATTTAAACGGTCCAGGTATAAATGAAGAACGTTTGAATAACATTTAAATATTTCCGACATAGGGAATTTTAACACAATAATTTATTTTCACAGGATGTGCATCTCTGAGGTATTTAAACGGAGATAAAATGTCTATATCGTTGAGTTTTGGAAAAAAAGTCATAACAAATAGGACAGTTGCTAGTAAGTAATATTAGTTTTTAGATTTAATAAACAATACTTATACAATATTTATTAACAATTATTTTACTTACAGGTCGTAAACCAAGTCCAGTATGCATGCCTCTTCCTGGAGGTATATCGAAATTCTGCGGACGAGTTTATAATATTGCAAAAGCTGGTGAAGACTTTCGTGCTTGTCTTGGATTAGAGTTACAGTCTAAAAGCACTGTTGAAGCTGCAGTAAGAGTATCCTGCTTTAAATTTGGACCCAAAGGTGTAACGTCAGAGCCAGCTGACCCGCTGCCGCTTGTACCTCAAGATGAAACAGAAACTGAGGATGATGACGATGATGATGAAGAAGAAGACGACTTCGGCTTGGACGCTGATGATGATGATGACGACGTTGATGAAGAGGAAGATGATGATGACGATGACGATGGTAATTCTATGAATTTTTTGTCACGTAATATGTTGTATATTGCAAAATACAAAGGAATATAGAGTTCGCATAAATGTCTTTATGTAAGTCAGTAAAATTACTTTTTATTTTTAGGTGAGATCGATGCCGTGAACGACGTAGATAGTGCCGACTATACAGGATTTAGTCTTTTAGGTGAAGACTTATTAGGAGGCCTGTTCGGATCTAGCGATGGGAAAAAACCAAACAAAAATCGAAATAAACAAGCTCAACTTACATCCAGTTCTACAACTACACGCCGACCAAGACCCAATCGTAGAACAACAAGGAGACCAAATACGAGAACAACACCCAAACCTATAACCAGAAGCACTACGGTTAAAGTAAGACCTATTAATCGTCGCCCAACTAGACGACCATCCAACAGAAGACCAACACGACGGCCAACACCTTCAAGTGCTGAAAGTTTCCCTATTTCAAATGTATCAGAAATGTCATCTGGTTTAACTTCCGCTAGTACAGAATCGCACTTATTAGCTCAATCAACAATGGTTCAAACGCAAAAAATTACCGAAAGTTCAGAAAAGACTGATTCAAACGAAAAAATAGTATCCGGAAACAACAAAATAGCAACAATATCTGCAACAACTCCAATTACTGCGACTAGTTTTGAAGAGTCAGGTCTAGAAATGTCTTTGGCTCATATTACTGGACAACTTTCAGTTATGCCAGCAACTCAGATCATTCCAAGTCTATCAAAGGACTCGGAGACAAAGTCGAGTGAAGAACAAATATCATACGAAAAAGTGCAAACAATTACCCCTAAACCTCATTCAACCATTCCTTATGCAACAGTTGTTGATGATGACGACGCAAACGAAGAAACGGTTCAAATAGTTCAGAGCCTTGATTCTCATTCAGAAGAACATGAATCCGATAAAACCGTTACTGTGGATGAGAGTCGCGCACATAACAAAGACTATCATTACGAAGAATTAGTGATGCCTAAGAAAAAGCGTAGAGGTGAACAGTTTGATTTAGAAGATTTGGATGTTTTAGATCTGACTAAAATTGGGGAAAGTGTTGGACATCAATTGGGAATATTTGGACGTCATAAACGCCAAAACCAAAATAAACATAAAAAGCATAGAAATGGTAATGCTGATTATGATATTGTTAGTGGACTGGATGCAATCAATGAAAGTCTTGGATTACCGGATATTGAAGTCGCACGTAGAAGAACCAACAGGAGACAAAATAAAATGATGCGCGATTGGTCAAGAAAATAATTCTACGAGACTTTTAGTACTTAATTTTAGCAAATTTATTATTTATTTTATTTATTCAACTCTGTAAATAGTTATTTTTAAATTATTTATTACCTATTAAATGTCTATATTAAAAAGTTCTACAACTATTTCTTTGTTTTATTTACACATTTGATAGTAAGAAAGTAAAAATATTATAAAAATTATATTCAAACCAATAATCATTTAAATAGAGATGGAGCAGTGTTGGCCTAGTGGCTTCAGCGTGCGACTCTCATCCATGAAGTCGTAGGTTCGATCTCCGGCTGTGCACCAATGGACTTTCTTTCGATGTGCGCATTTAACATTAGCTCGAATGGTGAAGGAAAACATCGTGAGGAAACCGACGTGTCTTAGACCCAAAAAGTCGACGGCGTGTGTCAGTCACTGGAGGCTGATCACCTACTTGCCTATTACATTTAAAAATGATTATGAAACAGATTCATAAATCTGAGGCCCAGACCAAAGGAGTTTGTAGTGCCACTGATTTATTTATTTTTTAATCATTTAAATATGTATATAATTTTAACCATTAAAATTAAGTGGTATGGTAAAGATGAAAGAAAGGTAATGACATCAGAAATAATTAATGATAATATAAGATTATTTTGGTATATAAAGTCCATAAATTATTATCTCAATATGTATTATATCCAATCAGTAGCATATTGCTTCATAGAAATACAAAGAACAGGTATTTTTATAGACGATATACATTATACAAGTAATACAGATTAAAATAGAATAACTAATTTATAAAAGCGTACTATTCTAATACAATAATAGTTATATTGATTGGATTTAATTTTTAATAATTTATCTAAAAATAATGAAAATATCTAAGCAAGACCGAATACAACACATAAGTCATCATAATCATATTCAGTTTGCGTCCTCGTTACAGAAAGTAGGAATCAATACTGTCATTTAAAGTCACGACTTTCTCCTGACTGTACATTAAAATTTAAAACTTGTTTATGTTCAATGACCGTAGAACAGAAACTCTGTATTGAAACTCAGTTAGTAGATATTTAAATAGGTGGATTGGTAATACTACAGAACAAATTCAATCAGCAAGGCAGGCGCACCTGTTGTAATTAAAGGAATTTTTTGCTATGTTTAGTTTTAAATATTTTTTTATATTCCTATTTGGAAGTTTTTCATTGTGCCATGGGAGACATGGTATGTAATTTACAATTTTCTGGCTCATTTTATTTTGTCATATTGGAATCACGATAAAAATTAATACATTTTAGGTGAATTCATAACAAAAGAAGATGGGAGGTATGATATTTTAAAATTTAAGGTGCCTGAAAGTATTTGGCAGCAAGCTTTTAAACCAACTCCCGTGCTCAAGTCTCCAGTGACCATTGTAGTTCCAATTAATGTAGCAGAAAACGAGGAAAATGAAACCATATATGATGACGAGAATGAAATCGATCCAATTAATGATTCCCCTATTGAAAATGTACCAGTAAGCGATGAGCCGGTAAGCAATGCGCCTGTGTCAGCTGCAGTAACAGTGTCTGATGTAACGCAAAAGCCAACTGTACAAGATGAGATTCCAGGCCCTGTAGGCAATGTAAACGGAACAGTGATAAGGTTCCCATGCAATTGTAGATCTGGCCAATGCGGCTGCTGTACGGGTGCTATATTAGAACGATTTAGAACTAAAGCATGTGGAAATATATCTTTCATTCCTGAAGACTTCGTTTTTGATGTCAGATTAAGCATTAACAACAATACAGTAATTCGTCGGCGTGTTTCAGGTATTACTTTTTAAATACTATTAATAATGATGGCATTTTTTGTTACATATGTATTTCCGTTAAAACCGATTAACTGAATTTGATTGATTATTTTGTGTGAGGGAGAGAAATAGGATAACACTCGAATACGGTTATTTATATAGATAACAGTATATAAGATATATACTAAAAACTAAATACCGTCATTATGTAACTGCTAAAAGGATTTAATGTATTGAACAAGTTTTAATTTATTTTAAACAAAGTTTAGGCTTAGGCTTGTAATTTCATGATTATGTATACTTTTACAGCGAGTGATCCTCCACCAATATGTCTCAATCCAAGAAGAGCACCGTTTATTCGTGTTTGTGCTGAAATAAGTAACATTCGTGTACGAAATGGAAATGCTTTCGCCTGCTTGGATATTAATGCAGATATCGCAGGATTCACTATTTACTCAGCCTCGTTTAGATGTTTTGGGTATGTAAGTTTGAGATAAAACTATTGCTTTTAGTATTAGGTATTGACTATTTAATTAAACTATAATTTTCTAGATTGGGATCGGCTGGGGTCCAAACCGGCTTAAAACCTAAGCCGGTGTCTTCCGGGCCGGAACCTGTAAATTTGTTTGGAAACAGCAATAATAACAATGAAGGGACTATTTTGGATGCTGCAGGCGCACTTTTAGGAGGGGAAGGCAGTCGACCGAATGGGGGACTTTTTGGGGGTGGTAATGATGGTCCCTTGGACGCAATCGGTGATGCTATTGGTGATATTTTTGAGGGACGATATTTTGATTAGATGTATTAAGAGAAACTATTTATTTTATTTATTACTATTTATTCTAGGAATTAAACACAAATTATAAATATAATGTTTGGGGTTTTAATTTTCCTTTCGTAGTGAAACACAGGATAAGTTATGTAGTGAAAGTAGTTAAGACTTGATAAATAAATTCGCTTCCACCATACAACCTGTTTAAATATCTAAAGCGCAGTGTTGAGTTTACTCACACAACGCTCTCAACACTTCGCGACTTGTTGAGGTCCAATAATGCCTCAAATAAGTTTCGTTGTCATTATAGTGACCTTGTTATGTGAAATTGTAAACGGAAATGCAACGGATGTTACAAGTATGTGCAATAATTTTTTTTATATTCACTTTCTTACGTTCAACTTTACAATATATAAATTATTCATTTTTTTAATAGGCAGCTATACAACTATCACAGATGAAATTAACCTAGAAGAAAATGAGCAAAAGGACACTTCATCACAATTATTAATCGACAGAATAAAGATGGGAAATTTTTCTATATTTTCACCGAACGCAAGGCAAGAAAGTAGTGAAGAGGAAGATGAACCAGCACCAAATAGAAGGTGTACTTGCGCTTTAGGTGTTTGTAAATGTTGTACCGGGCCCGTGTTGGACCTTTTCAAGCAAAAAGCATGTATGAAAGTTACATATCACCCAGGTGATTTTGCATTCGATGTAGCAATGTCCCTAAACGACCGAACCCTTTACGAAAACTCAATGTCAGGTAAACAAAGCGAGGTGTAACAATCATACCAATTTGTTTTTATATACAAGTTTTTTATAGTGTTTATTTGTAGGTAAAAATCCACGGCCTATTTGTATTAATCCACCGAGAATGCCCAATTTAAAAGTGTGCGCACGATTTTATAACGTATTTTTTCCTGGAAGAAACTTTCATTTCTGCTTAGGGATGACTGGAAGATGGAGGGCCTTGGAATTATTTAATCTAACATTCGATTGTTTAAGGTAAAGGGCGTGTCAACAGCCATTTTTTTTCTTTTTTATATCATCTGGTGAATATTTTACTAAAATTTTAAATCTCTTCTATCTATTTTGATTTTTGTTTTCAGAATGGGAGCAAATGGATTAGCAATGATAAAGCCAGAAGAAAATGGTGGTCTACACGTTCCGAATCCGCACGGTGGTGTGGACGCCGTAATAGATGCTGGTGAAGATGATATAGAAGAATACGATGAACAAAACATAGTTCGATCACTCCTAGAAATATTTGATAGATAATCCCCCATACAATAAAATCGCGAGTGTTGAGAATTTAATTACGTACAATAAATTATTTATTCAAAACAATTCACTTTTTACTTGCTAATTAAGTTTATTACAAAAAAATCGCGTGGTGAATTTGTGAAAACCTGCACGAATGGTATAGATACTTAACTATATAATTTATTTCTCGTTATCTTCTTGTTTACGATGAAAACTCGAGCATGATATTGAAAATGAGTATTTAATGATAGCCAGTGGTGGTGCGTCCATATGCGCAGGAGTTTCTCTAGAAAGTCCCGCAGTCCGCGTGTGCACCGCATCTCGCATACAAATAGATACGGCCTTTATTTGTTTGTGTTGACGTAACATACAAATGTGCTTCATTTGTTAAGTGGACCTTGAGAAAGCAACTGTAAATTTGGAATTTGCAAAGTTGATAAGAAAATGAAGGAATTTCTACCCTTTTTACTAATGATGTTGTGTGTCAGCTTCTCTGCTGGTAAGTAATTTTAAAATTTACGCCTGATTTTATATAGGATCATCAAACCTTAATAATTGCAATTTCGGTTACAGGACACTTCGCTCTTTGGGGTAACAAAGAGGATAACGCAATGGACGTCTCAGATTTTTCTGTTTATTACGATTTAAATACTAATGAGGTAATAATATAATATATGTATATATTAATGTAGTATATTAAGTTACTAGTATAATGTTAAAAATTCATCCGCGTCAAATTACCGCGTTTATGCCAAGACTCCTCAGATGGATTCTTGGCAAAACAATAATTGCTAGGGGTTGAAAGTACAAAGGCAGATCACTAATCTACCCAAAATAAAACGCGTGCTTTTAAATGATGATAATCATAGATGATTATTTAGAAATACAGTGCAATGCTTTGTTAACACTCATCAAAAATAGTTTATTGGCTTAATCGTAAAATTTTCACTAATTTCCAGTCATTAATCATAATTGAAATTGATTTCAGACTATTCGAAAAATGTTACCAAGGCCATGGTACAAACCTGGGTGGTTTATACGACTGCCGTTCAGAGGGGGTCCTTGCGAGTGTAAGGATTTAAAATGCTCATGTTGCACCGGAATTAGGATACAAGCATTTAATTATGATAGGCGAAGTAAGTTCAGTCACATACAAGGTGACCATATATGTTCATTGCCAATTCTCATTTTAAATTTGCACGCGCTATAAATAAACCAGCAAATTCTTAAGTGCAGCATTATAAATATTAGGATTCTAAATACAGGTTACAGTATTAAAATTCAATGAAAGAAACCTGTCCAATAACTTCAATACAATTACTATGAATGCTAAATAACAAAAGAGCATCGTATATCGAAATAATAAAATCCGTAATAAATATCGAAAAAGATTCTTACTTTGATTTTAGTTAATATAACAGGTAAGAACGTTGTTGCATTAAAGTGGGCAATAGGTGCAAAATTTACTCGTATTATTAAGTATTCATTATTTAATGTTTATTTTTAGCCTGTGCAATAATCGAATACCAACCAGAGGACTCTATATTTTCTATGGAAGTAAGAATGAACAACGCAAGTATATTTCAAAGAATATACTCAGGTATGTATGTTGCGATAATTAAATAACACATTAGGGTGACATAATTAGATACGGTTCTATTCTATTGCTTTAAGCCGTTAGGAATCGATTAACCTCTACGTATATTTATTGGCCTTTCCCTTGTCATACAAGGGGCATGAACGTTCACGAACATCAAAGCTATTTCGAGCCTGTTCAATGCGTTGATGATAACCATGCTCGAGTTTCATTCATCAGTCTGGGCTCCGCATGAGACGAAATTGGAGCGTATACAGAAAAAAATCACAACAGCGTTTTAGTACTTATCCTTTCAATCCTTTAATATACCCAACGTTGTTTGTGTTAGGGACGGATACAACAAGCTTGAAACCAGACGGTAGTTACAGGCTGCCAAGTCGTTTAAGAATTTATAGGGAATTATTAGTAATCCTAGTGTTCTGTAAGAACTAAATTCATTTGTACCAAATGGCTTTCGTCGGAAACGAAACTTAGTGTCAGTCTCTAGGGGCCGAAAGAATATATTATGCCATCAGGGCCTCTTAACACGTTAGGCGTGTTTAATACTGTCGCAAAGGGGACATTGAATTTTCTATGTTTTATAAATTATGTATAATTAAATTGTTAAGATACATAATTATCGCATTGATGTTAACAATTGTTAAAATAGTTGTATAGTTAGTAATCAATAAAATAAATTAAAGAAATTCATATATATCATACTGTATGCATAACTATAAAATACAATGTATAACAAAATGCGACTTGGCCTAGAAACTAGGTGATCAGCATTCAGTAGTTTTGGGTCTAAGACTCCTATGATCCTCATCCATGATAAAGCTTTGTCATATTTTATTTTCATTAATTGTATTATTACGTGAGAATAAAATAATGCTTGTTTCTTACACAAACCAACTGTTTTTAATAAAAAATAAAAACTTTTAATATTATGAAACACTACTTAACTATGAAAATATGTTTTTTTTCAGCTCGCAATGCCCCACCCTTCTGCGTACCTGTGCCAATCCCGTACTTACCACCAACACTTGTCGATATGTGCATACGTCTGTACGATGTATCAGTTATTGACCAAAAGTTCCATGTATGTATGGATATGGACACGCGAATAGACAAGGCTCCTGTGCTGGTTTGTATAATTAAGAAATATTTAATGAACTAATAATCTATTTGTGTAAATAACGGTATATATAGTCTATGTACTACTTTTCTCCGATATAACATCCTTATTATATCTTTATAGTTTGGCTATATTTTATAACATTAGAATAACTTTTATGTTTATCAAAACCCCTTCATTAATACGATTTAGTTAAGCGAGGTGAACAAGTTAAGGACCTGAAAGTCAAAAACTCACAACTGACATTTAGAAATCTTGGATTCCTAAAAATGCAGACCAGAGACTTCACAAGTATTCCCACTGTTCGAGTCTTGTATAAATCATTAGTGAGAAGTCACCTGGAGCATAATGGTGCTCTAGGCTCCTTTATGATTTAAAGTATAGGGTGATGCTGGAGCGGGTATAATCAAATTCATCAGGCACCTGTACGATGCGTACCCATTTTACCCGCTCAGGTATCCAACTTTTTTCATAATAGGTCCTGTGGGATACAACGAACTAAGAGTGCGCCGAGAATTTGCGCTTACCATGTACCTGATGGTTACGTCAGGAGGCCGTTACTATTCGTACCCTCAGAGAAAACAAACCGCTCGAAAAGGGCACACAATATATGGATATCATTAATGTCTGCTTTATGTCAGTTCCTATACTGTAAGAAAAAATTAGTATTTTTGTAAATAATTTTAATGTAGAACTGTTAAATGTTGTGTTGTTTTTTTTCTGTGTAGGTATTGTTTTGTATGTGATATAAATGTAAACAGTTGCCGTATTGAAGTAATCTGTAATGGTAGCTTATTTTGTTAAAATAAATAAAAAAAGATTTGAAATATTTGTAAATAAATAAATAATACCTTTAAATTGTATTGATCGAGTTAGTTTTTTCATAAGTGATTAATAGCTACTTACTTTGTAGATTCTTCACTGGGATTGCATGGATGTTGGTACGGGTGGGGTAGCTTTATCTAAGCCTGGAGGCAGTGGATCCATATCAACGTCATCGGTTGGAATCTCTACCACTCCAGAGCCTACGCAAGTAGACAGCGATGTCTATGACCCTGTAGTGCAAGACCGAGAGACGACAACTAATGACCTGTTTAAAAATAGTATTAAATATATTTAAATTAAGTAATTTGTTTGAATTTATATTTTATACCTTGTTTGTTATTGTTAGTAGGTTTCTTAGTGCGATATAATGTTAATTTACCCAGTATATAAATAAAAAAAAAGGGTGCGTGTACTTATGTGTACGCGCGTAAGAAGTTATACTTCTTTGGCATTATTAAAAATAGTTTTTGATTGCATGCAAATAATTAATTACAATTAAATAATCAAAGACTGGAAAAGGAGTCATTATAGTCAATAAAATTCAGTTTACATTTGAAAAATTAAATAAATAAATATTTATTATTATTCTCTTACATTAAGTGTAACATAAATTCTATTATTATTAGAATGTTGTTTTTAAATTATGTCCAATGCCGTAGCATCTTCCGTGGCCAACTTCATTCTGTTAATTTTGTGTAACGGTGCACGCGCATCGTAAAATTTCACTCTCATAAATTTTTCATAACGCGCCTAAAGAAGTATAACTTCAAAAATCTTACCTTAAATTTTAGGGTAAAATTCAGACTTAGCGCACTTAAAAATAAGCGCGAATTATTGCTTCCGATGTTAAAGTCGAATGTTATCCTAAGTTTCCGTTGAAAGATGAAACAGAAAATGGGGTAAAATATTAGTCTTTTATTAAATACTTAGCTATTTTTTGGAACGCATTATATTTTCTCTAATAAACGTTTGACAAAATTATAATAAAAATGAATAATATTCCATTAGTTGTTAGCAAACGTCAAGTGACTAAGCTGAAAATTAAACTAAAAGTTTTTGACTATTGACTGACAATACTGTATATTATACTCTTTCATTTTTGGTATTGACTATTGACTTGAGTATTGAATTTTTATATAGTTCAGACTTCTCACTTCAGTCAGACTTGGTCCGGGCCGCGCGGCGAAAAATTAGATTTCTATTTTGGAAGTATACAAGAAAAGTAATAAATAATTAATAAATTTATCAGAAATCAAATTCATGTGACGTAAATATCTATCACCTTACTAAAAGTCGTGTTATAAAATTTCAATTCTAAGGTCTTTAGCGAAGGTGATTACCATCCCAAATATAACTATAATTTATACCAGTTTTCTCTTATTTTACACGATTTTTTAGTAGGTAGTTAAAATGGCTGATAATGATGATTATTATTACGGTGAAGGGTTAGTAAATTCTGCTTGAACGGTGTTGTATAAAAAAGCTTTTTGTTCTTATAAATTGTGTTTGTGGGTGTCATTGAATTGCACATTTATCGTTCCTGTACTTATTTCATTATAATTTACAACTATACTAAAAATATATTTTGTTTTTATAAATGTTAGGTTGTGTGTCATTTTGTAAAATTTATACAATAAACTAATTTATGGCTAGCTTGCTTATACTCACATTCTAGTCTGCATTTTTCTAATGTTATCCTTAGTATTGTATTAATTAATGGGTCTAGTCTAGGTATATTTTTCACAATTACTTGCCAATTTAAAACATTGTTGTGGTTTTGTAGCTTTCAGTTTAAATAAGAGTACTTAATTTTTTTTTAATAAATATGTTGTAGGATTATGGATCCATTAGGAACAGCCCCGGAGGTAACCTATAATTGGGTTGACATAACTAAAGACTTTTTTGAAAATATAAAAGGTAAGTTATTTTTTTACATTACATTAAGTTTAAAAAAAAGTTAATTATTTTTATTAAGTCAAACTAATGTTCTAGTTTTTATGGTTTTTGTTATATTAAATGTATGTAGAAATATATGTATGTAAAAATACAGAAGAATAGAAACCATATTTCAACAAGTTAAATAAGTTTAAAAAATTGCAATATAATAATATGATCCTGTGATTTTCAGATCTAGAGCTAGGAGAACTCTTGCATGATGGACATCTCTTTGGCTTGTTTGAAGCTATGTCTGCCATTGAGATGATGGATCCTAAAATGGATGCAGGGATGGCATGCAACAGAGGCAATCCAAAACCACTCAATTTTCAACAGGCTGTTGAGGTAATGTTTTAAAATATGGCAAGCCAATGTCTAGTCAGATTTGGGCATAAAAATGTTGAGGATGAACTTCATCGTCAAAAAATTGATACTATATATAAGTTAAATGTATGTTTTATAACAACTTAAGATCATTTAATGTATGTCTATTTTGTTGTCACATATATGTGATATCAAATTCATAGATTTTTAACCTACTTTTCAGTGCGGAAAATTAAAAATAGACGATTTAGAACCAAGTGAACTGATTGGTATAATAGATGCTACAATGGCATGTGTGGTATCTTGGCTTGAAGGACATTCTTTAGCTCAGACTGTGTTCACAAATCTCTACTTACACCAGCCTCATTTAATAAAAAATAAACCTTTGAAGGCTTACTGCATTGCTGTGTATAAATTGCTGGATTGTATAAGGGATTGTATTAATAAGTAAGTTTCATTTAAGTAAAAACTTAGCTGACTGTAATTATAAGCAACTTTTTTATAATAATAAAATATTAATATGTCCTCTTATGTACTGTAAATCATAACAATCATCTTCATATTTTTTGTGTGAATTATTATTGAGTCATTGATTGATTTGCAGGTGCATTATTCAAATTTTGTTTGCATCAATGGATGATAGATAAAACAAGTATTTTTGTCATCACTTAAAGAAACAAAAAACATATCAAGTAAAATACATTTATATTATAATTACAGAGCACAAGTTTTTGAAGAAGAAGATTTTCTGCCAATGTGCTACGGATATAGACTAGGTTCCAGTCCTCAATATGGTAATTATGACACGAGTCTAGATCTGAGTGAACAAAAATTTATTGCCATGTTAAGGGAACAAGAGGAGGAGCTGAATAAAAAGGCTAAGATTTCAGATAGTGAGGTAATCTCTAAACTCTATATTGTGTCACTTATTATACCCAAAAACTTTTATTCCAAAAGTAAGCCAACAGTCCAGTGTTATAAATTTATTTAAGATATTGAAGTAAAAAATAGACAAGAGCAGTTAAACAATTTAAATCATCAGAATATTGTTTGAATTATTGTAGAAAGGTTTAGACAATTCATCTCTAGACATCATCTCAGAATAAGCGTAACATTCAATCTTAGCTGTATGTTAGTTTTTTTAAGGTGTACATAAAAAAAATTTAACAGTTTTTTTTCTAACAACCTTAATTTTGTTGCATTGAAATATAAATTATTTCAGATGGCGGAAGCCTGGGTGGGTTTAGCAGCCCGAATAAGGTTTACTCGAATGTTTTATCAAGCATTGCAACTTATCACTAAGAGAGATGGAGTATCTGGAGCTGATTGCGTGGCACTGCTAAACGGTTGCTCGGAGATGATGAAGGTCATCATCAGAACTTCTGGGAAGGGGACACAGCCTGTTGAGAATTGTAAGGTTTATATAATGTTTACATGATAGATATTAAGAATTGGTTTTGGGAGTTTGCTAATAATCATATTATAAGTTCGTAGCTTTTAAGTAAATTGAATTTATATGATATATCATTAAATTTTTTTAAATGAAATGAAATGAAATAGTTTATTATTGCAAGTAGGACTATATAAATCACTTTTACAATGTCTTCCTAAGCTAGATGAAGTCGACATTTCCTAACTGACTACCCTGAGAAGAAATGTCGAAACAAACTCGGGGGTCTAAGTCTCTTTTATAGTCCAGATAATACAATAATAAATTAATAAATTGGTGTAAACAAATGCAGAGTCAAAATGTCAGTCAAATAAAATTAAAAAACAAATGAAAAATATAATTGATTACATTCTATAATTGTTAATATTGCTCTTGAAACTTACATACACCATAATATTCATTAACCATTTTCTTATAGCTTTGTAATACTAATAATTCCAGCCGACAAAGATAAAATTCCTTTAATCAATTGTATTTTTTTTTAAATTCCAGCTGATGCACCAAACCCGATGGGCTTCGAGCCAATGATGAATCAGCGTCTATTACCCCCAACATTTCCACGATACACACGCATAAAGGCCAGACCAGAAGCTCTGCAGTACTTCGATGAGATGGTCACTCGCTTAAGACATGCCTGGAAGATTACGTCATGCACCAATTTTCATACAGCACTGGTTCGTCCATGTATATTCCGTTACCGCCCTTGTAGTCCGAGAGAAAAATCCAGTGTAAAAAACTCTCGGCACTCTTTCAAGTAGCAAATCATCAACCAAAATGACTATGTCAAACAACACTTATTTTAAAACAAATATCGCAAATTAATTAGAAGTACCCTGTCTAGCACTAGTCCCAGGCCCTTTTATCAACTAGATAATCGTTAACTTTATAGTAAGCCTTTTTATACAGCTTTTCTTTAATACATTTCTTAAATTTATTAAAATGCAGACATAAAAGAGTGGGATTTTATTAGGGAAAAGTATCCCTTTTCCCAAAAGAAATGGTGCGTGTACTTATGTACGCGCGTAAGAAGTTATACTTCTTTGGCTTTCTTTATTTTTTAAAAATAATAATAAATATTTAGCGTTAATAATTTAGCAATATTTAATAATTAGTATATTATTCAATTATTAATTAATATTAATAATAATAATTATTTATTTTTAATATTAATTTATTATATTATTAATTCAATTTCATAACTAGGTAGGTTTCATAACCTTTTAACTAAGTAACAATAGGTCTTTGTGCAAAAGCATTGCTAAATTTCTTTGAAAAAATAATTAAAACTCCTTTATTTGTTTAAAAGGTACTACAAATGTCATTATGGTCATTCAAAATTCTTGGCATAGCTGCTAACGTCACGCATATTCTATTTCTTTTTACTTGTAGATTGTCTTATTCCCATCTCGCTCGCGCACGCTCGGCACCCATACTGATAATTTTGTGTCACGGTGCGCGCGCATCGTAAAATTTCACTCTCATAAATTTTTCATAACGCGCCTAAAGAAGTATAACTTCAAAAATTTGCTTCACTATAAGATTTGTATAGCTGGGATTAGAAGGTTAGAGGTTCGCGCTATTCTATATATAAATAAAACATGAAGTTTGCGCTGCGTTGGCTTTGGAGTACTATTTTAATAAAACCAAGCCTTTGTGTACGACCGTTTACAATACTCTTTTGCCGCTTTAAATTAGATTAATCAAACGGACACAAAAAGTAATCCTATCTTTAAGTTATGGTTATAAATATTGATGCAATAATAATTATTGTTTTTATTATTAAAATTGTACGAATAACAGTAGTTTTATGACAGTTAAACGTTTCAGGATTTCTTTATGGAGTTCAGCCGACAACGCGCCTGTATCCTGTCCCGGTCGGCGTTACAGCTTCTGTACCTAAGTCCCTCCCCTGCCGCGATGACGACTATGGGCCCCGGTCCCGCTCACCGTATCTTCATGGACATCCTCAGAGATTCTATCAAGAGCTTTGTAAATCCACCGGCGTTGGCCAAACTGCCTCCTGGAACTACTCCACCCGTAAGAAATTTGTAATTATCCTTTACGGCCTTAGGCTATGTTCACATGTAACGCGCGATCAAATTTGAAGAGAGTTCAGATGATGAGCGCTAATGCGCGTTGCGAGAGTACTCGTCAGTCTAGTTCGAGAGAACGTACAAAATGGACGTGGAAGAGGCTATTATTTTGTGGTTATATTATAAAGAAAAATGTAGAAAAAGAAAACGTACACATTGGATTCATCCAATTTTGAAAAATAGACCCAGTTTGTTATAAATATAATTACGAAAATTAACAAAATTACATGCGATCGCGATGAAAGCGCGCGCTCAACTGAACAGCATACGGACATTACATTAATATTAAAGCGCGCGTCAACGTCAGAAAAAGTCTCTAGACGCAGCTGATCGCGTTAACGCGCGCTCATGTGAACAGTTGTATGAAAATACCACAATGTCTAGTCGTTTTTTTTTTGCCATCTGAACATAGCCTCAGCGTATTAAGTCGTCATAGTCGTAGAATAGTGACGGATCTGACAAATAGTAAACTTTACAGGGCAGCCACTCAAAATAATATAATCATGTTAGTTTTTGTCATAACTATTTTTATTCTGTTATTATGAAAATTGGCATACAAGCAAACAATGGGGTTTCTATTGAAACAAAATAAAAATAATAACATTAGATTACACAGTTTTCTAGAAAAATCACATGCTTCTATCAAATCCGCAACTTTACCGACTGATTAATTTAAAATTTAAAACACATGGATTTTTTTAATGTAGCCGTAATATTTAGTCAATGTAGTATCCAAATATGATAAAAAGTGGATTTTGGATTTTTTTTAAATTCGACATTGTTCTACGATCATGACGAAGTATTCCTGTAATCCCAGTCTTTAAATGCTCGAACGTATACAATATTATGTATTGTATATATGTATTCCTATTCCAACTGTGCACGTTTGTGAAGTGAAACTAATACGTACGAAGAGCTCTTGTATTTCCATATTAAAATGTTATGTAACATTTCTATCGCTATCCCTCGTTCTAAGCCCCAATTGCCTGTAAAGTTACTTATCATATGCTTGTTGATAGTAATTTGTTTAAATTTCCCCCCATTTCTTCAATTTCATTGGGCACGGGCCACATTTCTGCCTCTGTTTAGTTGATATTTTTTAATCTTCCATATGTTTGACATGGTATTGCAGGTGATCAGATACTCTGCCGTGTTTTATAAAAGAATTAAAGAATGAATAAATCTTGTTTATATATGTTTATGTTAAAAAAAAATAATCACCAATCACGAATTTTCGAATATACTTTAACTATGGAAAACTGTGCTTCAATTTGTTTATCTCATGTAATGTGTTGGTCGATAATGACTCCTAGATATTTGACACATTTGTAGGTTGATGCAAGAATGAAGTTTAATGGATGCTAATGACTTTAGCCTAGAATGTTTTGTAATATTCGACAAATAATGAATCTATTTGCAACCAAAAAAATACGTTAAATTTTTCAGGCTCGTGAATTCATAGACAAATTCTTGTCTCGTTGCGTCCGTCCGTTCGCGGCGTTTCTTCAGGTTTGCGGACACAACCGGGCGAGGCAGCGAGATAAACTAGCGATGCTGCTTGATGAATTCGCTGGCTTGGAAGAAGAGGTACTTATTATTTAGATTTCATGCCAAATAAATAAAAAAGTGTAACGATATTGTAGTCACCGCAAGCGTGCAGCAAGTATAGTGCCATGTTATGAAACAGTCATACTTCATACTACAGATTTTTAATACTTTAATGTTGCGAAGTTCTTGTTTGCAATTTGACCAGTGGCTTCGAACCTATCTATCTATGTAAAACAATTCATTTGCATTTGAATTGCATATGATCTATCAATTCAAAGTATTTTTCATTTATTAGTAATCATAACAATCAAATATACAGTGTTTACAATTTTCTTAACCTACATAGTAATAATAAAAATAATTAATAAAAAGAAAATTAAAACAAATTTAAAGTGAGAGCAGTGTACTTTTACGTTAAAAAAAGTATAAAATAGCCTCGGTATAGATACATAAGAATGGAATGCTAATATAGGTACCGCAAGCGTGGCACAAGTAGAGAGCAATGTGAATGAACAAATTATACCCCGTACTACAGTTTTTATAAGCGAAAGACTAAAAATGTGAAGTTCTTGTATACAATTTTACTGTCTATATAACAGAATTATGGAATAAGTAATATAGACGGAAGAGTGCTGCAAGTGTACAGCAAAGTAATATTATATAATTAAACCATTATATTTCATAGAATAGATTTCTGTACTGAAATGATAAGTGTCCATTATCTCCAAGCTCTTTCCTTATTTAAATTAAAGAGTCACGTTTAAAACCGTACTTAAGAGGTTATTTATTTATTTTTCATTTACACTTTTTGCACGAAAAAAATAAATTTTTATGGGCTATTCATTTTCCTAAATAATGAAATATTATATAGGAAAATATATTTTTTTCCAATCAAATATCTCGGTCACCCTACCAAAGTTGAAATGCGTCTTGTTGTCTAAGAACGTTTAGTAAACTCGTTAAACGTTTCGTTCAGCCACTTGTCTGACGGAACTTTAGCGACTTGATTGAATATCGATATTTAATTAAATGTCTAGAGATTCAATTAACTCTCTGATTTAAGTACTTTACTGCGACTTATATGTAATAATTTTCTATAACACTGTAATAGGCGGAAAGCGTGGACGCAGTCATAAGCGCGACTATGGGTACGCCAGCGCGAGCGTGTTTTGGTACGTGGGTGCTCTACCACGTACTACGAGTTATGATCGCATATCTGCTGTCTGGGTTGGAGTTGGAGTTGTATAGTGTACACGAGTACCATTATATATTTTGGTAAGTGCATATTTTTATGTGGGACTATGTTATGTGCCCGTATTCTGAATGTCAAAGCGACTCCAATTATGGATAGAATTATTAAGTTTACTGGCAGAATTTAGAGATTTACTCTATATATTTTTTTAATAATGCAAATATGTGATAGTTAGCTAGTGCTTTGCATAGATGGCGCTATTAGCAAAAATCATTAGTTTAATTGCACCGTTTTAAATAGATATATTGCCTTAAAAAAATAGAGTACTCATCTGTGTCTTTTCATCACAGTGTGAACAAGTATTTACAAACTAGGTCATTCATAGTCAATTTTTTTAGAAAATAAATTGTGCGTGTACTAGGTGTACACACGTAAGAAGTGAAACTTCTTTATGATCTTATTTTTCGAAAAATGATCTACTATATGCAACTTTACAGAAATTCGTTAAATTAGATAAAGTTTAACAAAAGGCTTTTATTATCATAGACATGAAAACAAATATTTCATTTTACCTTATTACTACGAAGATTATTATAGAATTTCATTAATTGTAATAGAATTATTACTATCATTGAAAAACGTGACGATTTGCTACAAAATTTCTCCCATACGTCGATAAAGAAGTTTCATTCCAACGCCGATAAAGAAGTTTGACTTCAAAAAGCAACATGGCGCGTAACCGAAAAATGTAACGCGTAACCGAAAAATGTGACGCGTAACCGAAAAATGTGACGCGTAACGAAAGAATGTTACACTAAAATTTTTTCCAACCTCGATAAAGAAGTTTCACTTCAAAAATTAAATATGTTAGTCAATAACATTAATATATATTGAAATACAAGTTGCGAGTTCGTACTTTAGCGAAATTTATAAATAAGCAGATAATGATGAAATATTGTTATAAAATTATGAAATGTACTATTTTGTTTTCAGGTATTTATATGAGTTTCTGTACGGTTGGCTTGTGTCTGCTTTGGGGCGGGCGGAAGGCCTAAGTGGGGAAGCAAAGCGTTCGGAGAAAAAAAGTGGTTCACGGAAGCTGAAGAAGAGAGCTCGTCCCTCAGCAAGAGAGGGACTTATGTGTCAAGTGCTGCAGAGTATGTGTGGGGGATATTATAAGGTGATTATACAAAGAAAATACACGGCAAATGATAATTGTTTTTTTTTTTATTTATTTGAATCAGTTCAGTAGTTTTTAGAGGGGAATTTATAAATAATAGTAAGACGTATTTACAGTTTAATTTTTCTAGTTACTAAACTATTTGTTACTTACTTTTGTATTGTAACTTATTATGTACTAAACTAATAAGATTTATTTTTCGTTCACGTTAATCCTTAGGGAGCGTTCATGTATTACGTCACGCAATTTTTATTGACCGCAATTTTTGGGGGGTCCCCACCCCCTATGTAACGCGCCGTAACGTTGTTCTGTAGGTACCCAATACCGTGACCGTGAAAAGTTATCATTATGTGTTGTAAAGTACTGGAAAGTCTAAAATAATATTAACAATAATGCGTAATTAATTCCCCGCCCTGCATCGTAACGTTTTACAAATGGATTCATCATCTATTCAGTTGACTCTGAATTTTACTTACAGAACACAAAATCGATGACACAGTATTAATTCTAATATTAATGAGACACACACAGTTAAATTTAAAATTTAGTTTGAATTGTAATAACTATTTGTATGCGCAGGCGTTGGTAGCCTTCAAGCTCCAAGGCAAGATTCGTCAGCCGCAGTGCGAGTTCGACAACGAGGCGGTGCGGTACAAACATCGCTTCGCGCCTCTTGCGGTACTGACGCCGCCGCAAGTTCATTATCATGAGTTTTGCGAAATGACACGGCCTTTGCAGTGAGTATATTACATTTTCATTAAGTACTAGCTGACCCTGCAAACGTTTGTTTTGCCATGTATATTATTTCTAGGAAACATTTGTTTAGTTCAATAAAAATAGTTATCTACAATAATAAAAAGGGGTTGATCGTAGAGGGGTGAAATTTAGGGGTTATATGTATTTTTGTATGCTTTATTATAAACAAAATAAAAACAAAAAAAATATTCTAAAGTATAAAAAGGTTTTTTTGGGGTGGACACCCCTTATCACTTACGAGGTTGATGTGCCAATGGACTTTGTATCCGGCTAATAAATAAATTAAAAAAAAAAAAAAAATACGAGGTTGATATATATTAGCCGATTCTCAGACCTACTGAATATGCATATAAAATTTGATAATAATCGGTCGGTCAAGCCGTTTCTGAGGAGTATGGTAACTAACATTGTGACACGAGAATTTTATATATAAGATTAGGCTACATATCGTCGCTTAGCTAACAATACCGCACAAGTCATATTTTAGCCAAATGACGTTTTTTACACCATTCGATAGATTACTTTCCCGCGCGTCTAATGAGCTCTCGCTAGAGGTAATATCGTCCAATAAGAGCGCGTTATTCAAAAACTAGTAACACAACACAACTCATTGGCTGCGCTAACACCGCGCAAGTCATCATAACGCCATAGTAATTTGGCCGTGCCACGTCGCACCTTATAAGATCGTTTGTCGTTTTTATAAAAGCGGATTTTTTGTAACGGACTGGCCCCACTGATGTAGTTTAAAGGTAAGGTAACTTAAATAAAACATAGTATTCATATTTTATCTATTAAAATACGTCATACGATTGCATTTAAAAACATGAATACTTAAGCGGTGTTGGAATGAACAGTTTCGTTGAGTTAGGCGGTTTTCTCTTTGCTTGGTTTCGATGTCTGAATGACTTACAATGTACTTCTGTGTTGAGTTTCTGACTGCTGTGGTATTCATCGATATAATTAGCGATTTTTACGCAGTTTTTTTAATGATTTCTATATCGTAATTATATTATATTTTACTTCAGAACACGAAAATGGACAAAATGGTCGATAATGATACCACGCCTGATGACTTTTCAAGAGTTGACGCTCAATGTAAAGTTATTACTTTACGTGACTTACAAAAGAGACATAGAGAAAAAATGTTATTAAATACATTGGGTATTAAATAATGGTTTGTCCGATACTGGTTGATAACGACAGATTGTGCTCTGCCACCGCCTTCTGAGATTTCTCGGAATGTAGATTGCTCCAAAAAGAACTCTGATGGTCACGTGCGTCTACAGCAATTTTTAGATAGCCTGCCGAAGATGCCATCGTCTACTGTCGAGCAAACTCATCCAGACGATACCTAGAACCAGTATTTCATACCATGGCACAATTATACAAAGAATACGTCAGTAAATGCGAATTAGATTCCTTAAAATGTCTTAGTCGTAGGGTTTTTGACAATGTATTCTTAAAACAGAATCTTAGTCTGTTTCATCCCAAAAAAGATCAATGCGATGTATGCTGTGGTCATAAAGTTGGAAATATAAACGATACTGAAATTGCAATACATCGCGATAGGAAAGACAAAGCTAGAAAAGAAAAAGACACTGACAAAAAATTGGCAATAGAAGGAAAAACGTGTCATGTATTTACGCAAGATGTTCAATCAGTAAAATTAGCTCCCTACCTTCAGGTTAGTGCCATATACTACAAGACATTTTATCTGTTCACAATTTTACCATGTATAATTTGTCAACACGTGAAGCTTGCTGCTACTGGTTCGATGAATCAAATGGCTCCTTGAAGCTTCTGTTTTCGCATCGTGCATTGTGGATCAACTACAGATAATTTTAAATAGAAAATTACTACCGGTAATATTGTATTCTGATGGCTGCTGTGCACAAAATCGAAATTCCATCTTAAGCAATGCTCTTCTGCGTTTATCCATCGATAAAAAAGTTAAAATAACTCAACAAATCTTAGAAAAAGGTCACACGCAGATGGAATGCGACTCTGTGCACAGTGCCATCGAATGTAGATTAAAGGGAAAAGAAATTTACCTTCCTTCCCAGTATGCGAATATAACAAAGACAGCTAGAGATAACCCAATGCCATATGAGTCTCGATTATTAGAATTCTCTTTTTTACCAATTTCAGTAAGGATTTAATTTACAAAACCATTCGTCCGGGCAGAAAATCCACTATTACCGATTTAAGGGTATTAAAATATAAACCAGATGGAACTATTTGGTATAGCTTAAACTTTGACGAACCTTTGCAGCCGTTGCCTCAGCGTCCAATGAAAATTACCAATGTAAAACCTTTAGAAGAGCTGCCGAAATTATTTTCTGAAAGACTGCCAATTTCCCAAAGAAAATATAAGGATCTCCAAGATTTAAAGGCAGTGATACCTTCGAACTGCCACTCATATTATGATGAGTTACCTTATAAAAATTAAATATTTTTCATTATTAGATCCATAAACATTTTGTATTATTTTTAGAAGTAGGTTAAGTATTCGAAGTGTTCTTATTGTCTTGTATTGTTTGTGTTAAATGTACCATTTTATTAAAGTTTTTGAGAGTTTAGAATTATTAGAAGTCATGGAAAAAATTACCTAAATTACAAAGCAGTGGTTTGCTCTGGTTTCCATTGTAACTTAGATAATTTTATTGATCTCAGTAGGTAAGTAGTTGATCTCGTCAAACAGTACAGTCGTAAAAGTCAATGAGTTCCTATAATATATTATAATATTAGCGAACCCGGCAAGGGTTGTCCTGTTGGAATAAGAAAATAAAACGGCAAAGAAATGTGTTTTTTTTTTGATAAAAAGCTAATTTAGCAATCTTTTTTTATTTTATTGAAGTTAATAATTAGTTTTATAAAACTGTTTTTGAAAAATGTTTTTATTTTGATAGTTTTTCATAGAAAGATTTTCTATGAAAGACTTATAGAGCTTAAAAATAAAAGGTAAAAACACCGCGTAAGTCTTTATTTTGTTAGAGTAAAACTGCTCAAGTCTTGAAAATTACCTAATAAGACGATATTTCTTTTATTTGTTTTTATAGTTATCATGCTTAACTAAATACAATATATTAAAATTTTTATCATGCATGTATTGTACAAAATGTTAAAGTAATACAGTTTTTTGTCTCTCCTGAAAACTAAGCAAATCTGACTTATGCGGTATTGTTAGCTAAGCGACGATATATCATAATCAGAAGGGTATTTAATCAATTGAACACATGTTCGTCCCAACCAAGAACCCAAATAGAAAGAAGAAAAGGATCAGATGAGGTAGACAGTACGCCATTGTCATCTAAGAGATATATCTTCCGGTATTAGCAGAATATTGGGGTCAAAATAGACAAATGTATGTAAACTTTATCCCGTGGAAAATGGAAGTGGCTGGACACAAAGACTGGTGACATGGCCGAAGCCACGAGGCACTAGAGAGGCTGGCGTTGTGCTGGACTGCTGGAAATAGCAAATAGAAAATTGTGAAATGCTTTGCGGGAGGCTTTTTACCCGTGGGGAGTCTTTATTTTTTATAGAAGGGGCAGGAGGCATACCTGATGTTATATGATATCGTTGCCCATGGAGACTCAATGCCATAGGGCTCGCGAGTGCGTTGCCAGTTTTTAAGAATTGGTACCCTCTTTTCTTGAAGGACCCTAAGTCGAATTGGTTCGGTAATACCTCAGTGTTTGGCAAAAACTATTTTAATAATAATATTCAGTTGTATCGTATATGTGTTTGTATTTTTATGAAATAAAGCTAACTATAATATATAGTGTAAATATATAGCGACTCTGAAAATAATTTGGCGTTTATAGAATTACTATATGGATATGTTGCATTGTATGAAGGCAAACTAAAAGTCGTGTAATTTCTACATTGTAGTTTTACCGTAACTGATGTTTCATGGAATTTACACTATATTTATAATTTTTAAATAGATTTTTTTACCATAACATTTTATTTGAACGATGCATATTTGTTTTGGTTTAGTTTTTAATACGCCCACGGAACGCTTCAATCTTTTGTACCAATCACTAAACTCGTACACTTACACATAATATTTCATAGTGAACAAAATTGAATGTTTCAATTTATCTACGTATATTATGTTATTATTATTTTATTTATTTATTTATTATGTGCTACGGATATTCAATATCTGAGGCATTACTTTCAAAGGAGGTTCATATCTTGATAAGAAAACTTTTATAACTGTAAATTTTCAGACACGAAAACCCTATAATATTATACCTGGGCGGCTGCAAACACTTTCAACAAGCTAGAAATCTATTGGAGACCATCACAACACCAGACCAAGAGGTACATTGTACAAGTCTAATATCATTTGAAGTATTAAAAACCTTTCATCAGTATTGGTCTATTATCTAAAGCTGGCGGCTTTAACACATTTACACTTTGTGTTTGTGTAGTGTCTGTGAATAAGCGCGAGGCGTGACGTCACACTGAATATGCGTCATGAAAAGACTGTCCATCTCTCGCGTCTCAAGCTTATGAGTGTAAAAGAGACAGTTATTGTTTTGCTTTTGCTACTGTTTATAAATACATGTTGATCTTTTTTCTCATTATAATTTTGTCTGTGATTGTTTACTTATTTGGTTGCAGAAATAATTGGTTCCGGCAAAACATTAACAGGACAATCTCGTGAAATAGTGTACAATGTTTTTAATTATTTTAAGGATCTTAATAAAAACAGTTTAATGAAAGAATTGTTAGTGAAGTACGCAATCAATATAATATATTATATTATCGTATAATATATCATATCCAGAAAAAAACACATAACCCAAGCCACCCAACCTTACTAAAACCAGAGTAGACTAAATATAAATTGGCAAAAAAGTCATATTTTTTGACATACTGTATAGTGAAATTGCATTTGTGTTGAGTACTGTGAACGCGCCAGCTTTCGATAACCGACCTATATTATTATTATTCTCGTCCGTGCGACGGCCTTGATTTGAGAACTAGGAGTAAATTTAAAAAGATATTTTATTAATAAATGGTATTTTGATTTTAAATAACAATAATTAGTGACGATAACGTTAAAAATAATTAGCAACAAAATTTATTTTCAACGAAAATAATTCAACAAACATTCAAAACATTCCAGGTACTAGATTTACTGAAGGTGGCGAAAACAAATTTCATAGTATTGAAATTATTGGCTGATGGCCACAAAAGCGATTCCAGTACGCCACCAGACTTCGATTTTTCCGTACATAGACATTTCCCTATAATTAAATTAGTTTAATAAGATTTGGTATTCCTAGTGTAAAACTTGTAAATGTTATAAATATATATGGTTTAATTTAACGTGTTTTGATTTTTACTGTTGTTTATACATTATAAGGGAGCGTTCAAGTATTACGTAACGCAATTTTTGGAGATTATTGGAACCCCCCCTTCCCCCATGAACTCGCCGTAACGTTTTTCAGTACCCAAGTACAATACTGTATCCAAGTCTAGTAAAACGTTTCGTGACCACCTAGTGACTCTTTAGTTACTATTATGTGGTGTAAGTAGAAAATAATATTAACAATATCGCGTAATTCAATCCCCGCCCCGCATCGTAACGTTTTACAAAAGCAAAAAATCGTTACGTAATACTTCAAGTATTAAGGAATAAAACAGATATAATTACTCCAAACCCAAGTAATTGAACTCACTTAACATGATTTTGACTAGATTCGTGTCATTATAATTTGACAATTCATATAATTCTGATCGGGCCGCAATGTTCAAATTTTTAAAGTTTGATTTCGTTAATCGTTGGATCTTTATTAATATTAATGATTGTTGTATCTGCGCACTTCACTCGCGGGCTGTGGGGTTGCTTTTAAAAAATTATTTTAAAAGCTAAATGCTTCATATAATTTCCAATTCAAGTGCTCAAATATTATGCATTTGTAAATCGAATCTTAAATTAACATAAATCACAAATAAGATTATTATAAAAATCCTTTCCAGCCAGTGTCTTTTATAGAAAAAAATAGGCAGTCCTTGTACTGTTTATTATTAAAATAACTTATTCAACTGACAATATTGTGTTTCTTATTTCATACACACTACAAAATATAATAAATTCTTTGATAATTTTGTTAAATACGTTCATAATTATATGCTATAAAATAGAAGCAATATAGAATTAATTTAAAACAATTTTATAAATCTTTGATAATTATATTTTATAATTTTAAATATTTTATGATATTTAGTTGTCTTCTTCATCAGAGTCAGCATCCGATACATCAGTGTAGCAGTCGTGTTCTATCGCATTTACGTTGAGGAAGTCCATCGCTTGTGGTCCTGGAAACACAAAACATCAAGTTCGATTCTGTCTGAAAAACTTCAATGGGTTCAAACAATCTATTATTAACGACAAAGTGAGCCTCAGCGAAATCTTATATTATTTTTATGATAACAATTTCCTCATGAAGCTCACCTTTTGTTATAACCGTCCGTGAATAGCTCTCATTATCCAGTGAACTCTGCCTTTTGTGTATATTACCTGTATGTTAACACCTGCGTTAGCTTAACGTTGCCGCTTCGCCTATTTCGACAAAGTATTTACAATAAAGTAAAAATTGAATTAAAATTGGAAATAACTTTCTTATATGTATCCGTCAACGCCTAGCACTTTTTTGCTAGCAAATGTCACTTCGAGTAGTCTTGTGGAATGAAAATAAGACCATAGATAGAAGTAATGGTTGTCTATTTTAATAAATAATATGGTTGGAATCTATCTTAAAGAAATGTATCTCGTAAAAAAGGCCTTTGTTACCTATGCTATTCAAATGACAGTTTGTAACTAAATTATATTTAAAAAAAATCTATGTATGGTTTCCAATGTTAATCCAATTCCGACTTCGGAAATATTACTGTAAAATAAGGTACCTTCTGTGTACACAACACTCGCCCCAAAGTCCTGTACAGGTGTTGGTGTAACAGGACGATCAACTTTGATGACGGCAGATGCGTTTTCCTCTTCTTTATCACCTTCTTCGTCACTCTCTATTATTATTTCTATCTCTTCACAGTCTTCTATCTAAAAATGAAGGAAAACAATTTTATGATCTATTGCAAGGTTTACGGTGATCTTTGATTATTTCAAAGATAAAAGACAAGACGAAGGGATTTCTATTTTTGTATCACTTCGTTGCATATAATTGAGTACAAAACAATCATAATTAGGACGGTAATTGGTGGCCTTATAGCTGATAAGATCAGGCAGGCAACACTAGTAACGAAAATAAAAAATACTACAGAGAAATTGCAAGTGCGATACTATTTAACATTTAAAATATATACGTCACAAAGAAGGATACAGTAGCTTAATTAAATCGAAAGTAGCTATATTTTTAGTAATGCATAGAAGACAAAGAAAGAATGGCAGGGTGGGATATACACAGATAGAGAATGAAGTGAATCCTTATCGCGAAAACACTGAAATATAATTTATACTTCCTGAATTCGGGATTCATAATATAGTCATCTCTTTTCCGATTAGTAGAGTTATGACGTAACTTAAATAGAAAAGAGATTAACAAGACAGCTTAATACCTGCCGATAAATCATAGAATACATAAAGTGTACATTACTGTTGTACCTACTGGGATATCAAGGGATTGTTGCTTATTTCTAAACTCCCGACGTAGCTGCGCTGACGTTGGTGTTGGTGCTGCTTTACTGTAACCCGGTGAAGGGGTACCAAGTCCACTACTCCCTTCATTAACCTGATACCCCACGTCAAGGTTCAAGGCCAAGTTCGGGGTACCAGCGAAACGCCGCTTACGCAGATGACAGCCTGATTCTTCGTCGACCATTGTGATTTTTGCTTATTGTAATCCTGTAGGAGAGGTATAAATTATCAAAAGACCACCTTATGGTCGTAAACCATTATGCATAAGTCTTGGTAACTACAGAACAGCATATATACGATATACAAATTGTAAGTATATTGATGGGAACACAGAAGTCAAACTGGAAGGTGACAAAATTTAATTAGACATGGAATAATGGACCCCAAATAATATTAGCTATGTTGTATGACTGCCTGGCTGATTTCTCCTACAAAAATGATTCGCACCCGTTAAGTCTGTCCACAACGTAATAAATGTTCGAAATCGAATATAAAAATACAAATTTTCACTTATTTATATAGTATTACTTTTTACACAATTTCCTTAGAAACAATCAAACACGTATTCACAACGGCACCACAGGAAACTCTACGTTCGACCTACATCGGTCTACTAGACCAAGGACTCGAACTCGAGCTCTAAAGAAGCCTTATGATTTAATCCGTGCTCTATGAAACCTTTTGACGAGGTTGTTATGTATAACTACCACCCGTGGTTTTACGCCATTTTAGGACCGAAATATGTTTGAATATTGGCGCGTCTAAACGGGCCATGTTTTGCTGCAATTGATGGCTGCAACACTGTGGCCGGCAACATTGCAAACAATAGCAGCCACACTATGCAATATTGCAGTTATGTCCCGGCCATATAGCCAAACATGTTTTGTATAGCCACATATGGCCGATGTTGCCCCGATGGGTGGCCGGACGATCGCTAGGCTATCGAATTCAACTGCAATATTGCACAGCCAGTTCTCTTGTTGTTTCAGTCACTCTCTTTGTTATGGCATAGTGTATCCTTTTCTACGCGACATGACGTTTGCTTTGAGTGAAGTGTGCGTGTTGCTTTATTCTGTGTTTTGCGATCAGCTGTATTTGACGTTAGATTACTACGTAAAAATGACTACTTTTGACATTCTAGTTCTTGAATAATTTATTATCAAGACTTATTTCTAGACTCAAATTGTCTACAGTTTCACGCCTATTTAAGTAAGGTCGAATCCACAATCTCTTCTTTTTCTGTTTCTTTTTTAAAACAATATAAGCTGCTGCGACAAGTGTGATTTCGTCAGCCATTGTTGCCGGTTTGTGTAGCCCGTTTAGGAGTCTGCATCATGGGCCATACTATTGCAGACATATTGCAACATATTGCCCAGCCATAGATTGTTCGGCCATCAGCTGCATTAAAATATTTTTGTAATGGCCGGGCAATTAGTGGCCAACAGTGCAGCCATCAATTGCAGCAAAACATGGCCCGTTTAGACGCGCCATATGCTAAATATTATTCATAAACGCATTAATATACGCATCAGTTAGTTAAATGTCAATTTATTTTATTTAGCAAGTGAAACAAGAGTGCTAATTAAATATAATTTATAGCCATTTAAAACATAAATGGGAATAAACATTCTATATATATATTTTAACTATATCATAAGGAATCTTTAGTCTTTTTAATCTTTTGAGTTTTCTAATTTAAATGAAATAGCATATACGTTGTACTTCCATCTTCGCCATACAAATATACAGACGAAAAGTCGTATTATGCCTGTATGTATATAGGAATTATGATAGCGAAAATAACTAGACATATGAAATCCTTTATAATGGCGCTTCTAAACGGGCCATGTTTTGCTGCAATTGATGGCTGCAACACTGTGGCCCGGCAACATTGCAAACAATAGCAGCTACACTATGCAATATTGCAGTAATGTCCCGGCTATATAGCCAAACATGTTTTGTATAGCCACATATGGCCGATGTTGCCCCGATGGGTTGCCGGACGATCGCTAGGCTATCGAATTCAACTGCAATATTGCACAGCCAGTTCTATTATTGTTTCAGTCACTCTCTTTGTTATGGCACAGTGTATCCTTTTCTACGTGACATGAAGTTTGCTATGAGTAAAGTGTGCCTGTTGCTATATTCTGTGTTTTGCGATCAGCTGCATTTTGACGTTAGGTTACTACGTAAAAATGACTGCTTTTGACATTCTAGTTCTTGAATAATTTATTATCAAGGCTTATTTCTAAACTCAAATTGTCTACAGTTTCACGCCTATTTAAGTAAGGTCGAATCCACAATCTCTTCTTTTTCTGTTTCTTTTTTAAAACAATATAAGCTGCTGCGACAAGTGTGATTTCGTCAGCCATTGTTGCCGGTTTGTGTAGCCCGTTTAGGAGTCTGCATCATGGGCCATACTATTGTAGACATATTGCAACACATTGCCCAGCCATAGATTGTTCGGCCATCAGCTGCATTAAAATATTTTTGTAATGGCCGGGCAATTAGTTGCCAACAGTGCAGCCATCAATTGCAGTAAAACATGGTCCGTTTAGAAGCCCCATAATACAACGATGGATGAAAATCGACTTTAGGGAGATTATACGTAGGTAATTTCACATTGTCTTTGTTGTTCAACTGACTAGTAGACTTTAGAAATTTATGATATAATTATTTCTTCTAATTATTCATTTCATGTTTTTGATAAATTGTCTAGTAGATAGGACAAAATATTTCAAAGGGTAAAGACTGAAAACGTATTTCTTCCAAGTAAGTTACTAAAACTACTGGTAGATCCCGATGGTGGAAGGTACAGGAAGCTGCGACTAGTAACTGTACTGGTACATATTATTAAGCTAAATTTTAATTGCTTCATTGACATATGATAGTATGTTTCTGTACTAGAACTGTAGTTTCAGTACAGAAACCAATTAGTATTGATTAAATATTTAAAAAAATGTAATGTGTGTCTTAGAAATATATTGCAATTGAAAAATATTATTAGTATTACTTTACCTAATTTTTTAAAGTATTTTGTTATAATATAGCATTTTAATATTTTCATAGACATCGAAGAAAATGTTTCCAATCCCCGACACTTGAAGGTTTTCCCCGCCCACTTAAACGCTAATGCCTAATTATACTTATTTAGTACATAACAGATTATCATATTTTTACCACATATAATTTATCCATTTTTTATTTTGGGTTGTATGAAAATTGTGTTTAAATGGATAATGTGGGTTTACTAGTATTTTTTATAGGTTTTAGTTGGCCAAAAGGTTTTAATTGATATTTCTTTATAAATAAATTTCATTTCTTTGTTATTATTTTAAAAAACAGTTTTAATGCAATAATAAGTTCAAGTATAGCACTTGTATATATACTATAGCACACATTAAAAAAGCGACATAACAGTAGTTTGGGTGTGCATATAGTATTGTTCCATATAACGTGGGTACGACAATCTTTAGGTAAAATTGATCAGGAAGGAAAATTTTTAAGTTAATATAAATTACAAGTAATATAAAGCGTCGATTAAAATTACATTAAAAGTATTTTGACATATAAAGTAATATTTTACTGTCAATATTTGAATATAGAGGCATAGTCATCTTAGTTTATTCATAATAACCTTGTATGTATATGTGAGAGAAGAAATAAAGACTATTATTATTATTATAGGTAAATAGGTTAATGATTTCATTTTATTTATTTATTTATTTCGTACTCTTACAGCTAACTAACATATATCATATTTAATAATAGGCCAATATACTTAACACATAGCCTTGATACATACATAGCATAGATAGAATACATAATATAAACAAAAAGGTTTCTAATATTACAGAAAACACTATTAAAAAACAAACATTATTCAATACAATTAAACTAAGTAATACCTAATTTGTCTGTGTTGTGTGATAGTGTAAAAGTGTGGGTACGTGTGTATGTGGGGGTGTGCTTTGGATACTTTTAATACTCATTTAAAGAATATTCCGCGATAGCTGAAACAAGTCAAGGCTAAATATTGGTCGTTGTATTTCCGGGCAAAAACTGAGGTTTTGGCATAGTTGATGTTGATATGAGGAACGTGAAACAAAGAACGATCACGCGTCCTTATAGGTATTCAACTTATTATATGTCTTATTGGAGATACATTTTATAAAGTTGTTCCGAAACCTTTGCATTTTTTTTGTGAACGCTGTAACTAGGTACAGAGCAACCATATTATACTTTATTATCGCGTAATTCAGCGTACCTCTTATCATACGGCCTCATCTGACGCTTTATTTAATTTTAACCTGTGTCACTTTCCTGTGATGACTATCATATATAATGTTGCGTTCCCATCTCCTTGGCCGGCGTTATTGGGGATCTTAAAACATAGGGCCTGCCCACCTCCACATTCGTTGTACTGTAGCAACAATGTCAGTTAATTTTGTTATTTGATTTCGTTGCTTCGAAATTTATTAACTAACTTCTTTATTATCGAACTATGCAGTCACATAACTCCTCAATAGGGCGCCATATTTACATTAATATAATAATACGCAAACATTTCTACGTCTGCTTCATTGAACTTTCTTTATACGTCATAAGCCTAGCGAAATGTATTGTTTCACCAAGAATAAGAATTAGAAAGAACCCAAGACCTCATATCGACCACATATGAGTAAATGCGATGAAGGTGAAATAAAAAGACAAATTTTGAGTTTCCAAAACAAGAAAGGCAAGTTTTGTTGTAAAAATATTACTCACTGATGTCAGAACCATAGCGTTAATAAAATAAGCAATTATTTATACCATACGGTCACTTGGCCAGATTACAAGCGGTCGACCCACTTATTTGAGGCCGACAACGTATAGTAGGTAAGGTTCATAATTGTGCATTATTTTGGCATTGCATTTTGGTGTAAGCTTGCAACTTATTAGAACAGTTGTTACATTAACATGCTTCTTCGTGTGCTAGCTTTGTTTGAAATTCTATTATACATGAAATTCATATTAGTGCAGGTTTTATATTTTCTAATAAATAACAGATTTATTTTTAAAATTAGTATTGTGAATATGGAGTTTTAAATTTTTTATAGATGAAGTTTCTGTCTGTACAATTTACGTTATCTTAATAGGGCCATAGTCGGTGAACTGATTAAAATGACTTAATATTTTTATGATTAAAATAAATAGCTTATGGTGTGACGAATCACGAGATGGTGTGACACTCTCCAAAAAAATGTGATGCAAATGTGTATCTTCCGTAACTATATTTTAACATTGCCAGCACGTAGCACACCATTTTTTTTTAATTTTGGTTACCTACAAGACCACCAAGTCAGTGTAGTTTTCGGAAAAATTTATTAAGATTTGCGATCGATAAAATATACGTTTGTAAAATGTAAATATCGGTCAGGTTAACCAAGCTGCAATCTGTATTATCACTGGTTGTCCTTCTGAATTGAATATAAAAGCCAACACTGAGACATTACGAAATACTTTCGAAAAAGGATTAGTGAGGATAACATCGCAATATGGAAAAATTCGTATTTTTATGTGTCGTGCTCATGGCTTGTAGTCTTGAAGCTCATGTAAGTATATTCATTAGATATTTTTATATATAAGATATTTAAAGATTTTACTAAAGAACTAATCTGTCTCTTTACATGATAACCATTGATTTTTAGAAAGAGAGGAAATAATTTTCAAAGCTTTATATTCTAACGTAACATTATGTAAAGGCGTTTTACCATAAAATGTACTATTTATGTACAAAATGTTTACAGAACGTACACTTATCAAAAGATCAAAAAGAAAAAATACAACAATACACCGTAGAATGTATCAAAGAAACCGGAGTTAAGACTGAGCTCATAGAAGAAGCGAAAAAGGGCCAATTGAGCGATGATGGGGGCTTCAAAAAATTCTTATTCTGCTTCTTTCAAAAAACTGGAATGCTGACATCTGATGCAAAACTTAATACTGAAGTCGCTTTATCAAAGCTCCCACCAGGAATAGACAAAGCCGCAGCTTCGAAATTGCTTGATGAATGTAAAGCGAAGAAGGGCAAGGACAGCGCAGACACAGCATATGAAATCTTCAAATGTTATTATAGTGGCACAAAACAACACGTAATTTTTGCTTAGGTTAATTTTAGAAGAATATTTTTTATGAAATAAATACTTTATTTATACACATATACATTATATAAACTAGGGCTACTATAACAGGTAACTTCTTAAGCATCTCAATCAACTTTGTAGCATTAGCAAGTGGTGAGCAATGAATTACAAATCTCCAAAAAGAAACAATACATATTATTAATTATAATTAACAATAAACTAATTATGTTTAGTATACTTACTGCATTTTCATTCATGATATATTCATTGTTTTTATACTATAGGATTTGTTGACAATTAATAAAACACTGATAAAATTACACCTATATAACATCTTTTAATTTAAAATTATATGCTTTTTGTCGGCGTCAATAAGTTAACTCCATACAAATTAACCTACAAGCACTCAGCCCTTGGAACCATTTATTCATGTTTTACTGATTTCAGATTTTAACATGGTGTCTCTATTATGCTATTATTGTCAAATTCTGAAGATGTGTCGCTTAAATGGTTACGCGGTGTGTGTGTTCCCATGACTTTGATATCATCAATATGATCATTTTCATAGATATTATCTGTATCGTCTTCATTATGGTCACTAAAATCTGTTGAAAGTTCACCAATGTTCATAGAATGATGTGATTCCGTTTCAAATGAGTCTATTGAGGTATCCGAAAGTTTAGAGTTTCTAGCACTATAGTAACCGTTAGCTCGTTGTTTTTTAAAGAAACTTTGACTTTGTTCTTTCTTGACGAGGTGGAAATTTTCATCCAAAGGAACATAATATGTTTTTATATAACCCGCGCCTTTAACAAAAGTTTCTCCTCGGTACGTAGTAAGAATTCCACATTCGTCCAAAATAAATGCAGTGTTTTCAGTTACCTGAGAATTACGTTCATGGTTAAACAGCTGAATCGGTTATTTTACACACATTATTTGATTTTTGAGAACTGTTGGTCTCGTGGCTATAGTGTGCCACTATTATCCATGGACTTTATCGCTATGTGCTCATCTAACACTCGCTCGTACAGTGAAGGAAAATATCGTTTAGACCCAAAAAATTGTCGACGTGTGTCAGGCACAGAAGGTTTATAACTTACTTGCATATTAGAAAAAACTATTGATCACGAAACAGATACAGAAATCTGAGGCCCGCTCTGAAAGGTTGTAGCGCCACTAATTATTATTTGATTTCTACCTGTATTCGTCCTGTTTCACCAGTTGAATCCATTCGTGAGGCTAAGTTTACGGCATTTCCCCAGATATCATACAGTGGTTTTAGGGAACCTACTACGCCTGCTGCGACCTCGCCATTAGAAATCCCTATAAAATTAAATAAAGAATACATCGCACACACTAATGTATAATATGTACTCGTATTTCATCAAATTCTCAGAATATATGTCACATCTTGAACATTTGATAACAATCAATCTATGATGTAATTGTGCATTTAATAATCATTACCAATACGAAGGTTAAGCCCTTCAAAACTTTGAAATGAGCCGCGATTAAAGTTCTGCAATTGCATCATCATCGCAGCTGCGAATTCAACCATTGTAACGACGATTGCTCTATTATATAGATTATTTTGGTTCCTATCTCCAACTGAGCAGTAAGATGATGTGTCAAACGATCCCCTTCTATTTGGGTCCAATCCACACGCCGCCATATACGTCCAGCCGGCGACCTTTATTTTTTCTACTTTATACAGCGATGAACCCATTAATAAAAGCTAAAATCAAATAATTATGATGTTAACATGTCAAAATGTGGGCATTTTTAGTGCCTTAATTACTCACCCGATCAAAATCTGATATAACTTCATCAAGTATACTTAAAATAAGCTTATCACTTAGGTCCGTATCACTCTCAATGCCTAATTTGTAATCAGTAAGGGACGCAAACATAACTGCGACATTATCGTATTTTTCATAGTATAATTCATCTATGGGTCGATTTAAATCTAAATAAACTTGCACTAAAAGAAAATATATTTAAATTACTAGATTATTCTATTGGTACAAACGTAATCTCGGACTACTACTAACCTACATGAGCGGGTAAAATATTTTCCAAAAGCATATTATTAACTTTTAACATTGTCTCCGCTTCTTCTTGTTCTTCGGTTAATTGTTTCTGCCACAGGTGGTCTAAACGATGTCTATATTCAGTGCTCCTATCGATCCAATACAAGGTTATTGTGATAAAAAGCACAGCTAGACTCTGAGAGATTCGAGGATCTAGGCCAACGTTCCATGTAATTCCAGTGGAAAAGTAGGCACCTTTCATCTCCCATATTACGAACAAGTAAAAAATTGTCATTCCACCAGCTACTACCCATTTGAACATGAAGAAGACACGGCTGAAGATGAAGTTCAGGAGAAGAGCCAAACCCCAACATTGTGTCACGTGCTGTGGAAGATAAGGATTCTAAATAAGGTATAAGAGAGAATCATAGTTGTGTTTGAAAGTAGAAGTTATTACCCACGAGGAAACGCAATGCGTTTGAATTTCGGCTGGTTCTTCCTTACACCCAAGGACCTTAAGAATGGACGTGATCGCCAAGCCTAAGCTGATCACCATGTAAATAGCAGTTCTAACTTTTGTAGATTTAATTATCATAACTGATAAATCATAGATGTAGCGTAGAAACTGCCCTTTGGGCTCGTTGATTCCTCTGTATTTCGTCCAAAAAAATTGGAACCATGTGAGGGGTTGGAGTATCATTAAGATTAATATTAAAATTGCAAAGGGAATCCAGACGTACCACTCAAACTCTTCTGACCTAGAAGATATGTATGTTTATTATAATAAAGTATGTTCACAGATTCAAACAAAAATATATTTAATCGCGTTTAATAATCTTTTTTAACACGTAAAATATTCAATGCAAAAGAGCAGTGTTGGCCTAGTGGCTTTAGCGTGCGACTCTCATACCTGAGGTCGTAGGTTCGATCCCCGTAGTAACAGTTCTATAATTTTAAATATAAAATAAATTATTGAAATCCTGCAAATACTTTCGTAATGTTTACTTAAGTATTATTACAAAGTTATTAACCTAAATTTACTTTGACATTTATTTTATGTTTACCTGTTCTATAAAATTATTGAATTATTAAACATTTAACAAAAATATTAATGTTCTCACCAACTCGTTGTTAGTATGTTGACAGTTGTGATTAATAAAAATATAACTAGGCAGCATGTTATGTAATACTTGAACAGAGGATCTGGTAATAGAAGGTAAGATTTCTCTAGTGTTATACTCTTGTACATAAGTGTGAATCTATTTAATTTTGATTCCTGCTTGAAGTGTTCTCTGTAATATAATAAGATCACGATATATTACCAAAAAATAAATATCTCATTCTCGTATAAAACTGATTATATGACAAATAATAAATAGTATAGTATTTTTTTTGTTTTTATCATTCATTTCAATTATATTAACTTAATACACTTAATCTAGCCATTTAAGCTTATCAAGCATCTTCCATATAGATATAAAGAAACACGTACGACACCCCACTATTATAAACAGGTTTGTTATAAGTCTAAGATAAGCTATATACTTTCGATATAAGTGTTAGTGAAGTTAACGTAACATGGGTTCGTATACCGTTTATGAGCGCTTTTATGACTTGCTCCACCTAAACAGCAAAGACCTCGCGACGCGCGTTGTCAGCTGATCACCTAGATTCATTAAGGGTTGTATCACCACTGGATTATACATACTTTCCGCTTGTCATGTCTTCTATTTCCTTAGCCATTTGCGCATCAGCCGCTTTCAACATTTGCTGATATTCCACCAAATTTTCATCCATAAAAGCGGTCGTTCTGCGATAGTTTCTATTTTCCGATCGCTACTAGAAGTATGAAGATTAGAAATAAATCGTTAAGAGTTTTTATTTGATTGTACTTAACTATTATTTTTATTATTTCCATTTTATTTTATTATTTACATTTTATTGTATCTTATAATAAATAAATAACGACTCAAGTAGAGTTTTAAGTACCTCATGTTTTCATCTCAACTTGTGTTTGGGTTAAAGACACAGTTAAAAATGGTGACTAATTTAGTGCGTGTAAATTAGTTAAGTTCTTGTTATTGTAGAAGAAATAAAAACTTAAGAGTAAATTATTTACAAAAATGAAAAAAAAGTAAAAGAAAATATACAAATAACTTACTCTATGTCTCGAGCGCGGGTTAATTATCTTATTGAGTCCCACAGATGCTCGTCGAAATGGTTTATAGTCAGCCATTGGCTAAAATATTAATATCGTTAGTAACTCTATTATAATTAATAAATAATCTCATAAGAGCAACTTACCCTCGGTGGTCTCGAAATTAAATATGTTTCTATTCTATTATTCATAATAAATTGATCATTTTGAGATTCAAAATTTGGTTCAATTATGTATTCCCGTGCGAAGTCCAACAGCAATTCCAGAGTTTGTTTTGTGATGTGTACTTTTCTAAAAAATTAAAGATTTATATGGAGTTAAAAAACGGTTTAAATGCAAGCTTTAAAATACTGCGATGCAATTCAGATTGTGCTTCTAAAAAATAGATTTATTTATTCAATTACTGTGAAACTCGCTACACATCAAGTTCGTTCATGTGATCCGTGCAGATAATCAATCTCTGTTAACGTCGCGATATTCAAATTGCAAACTCGTATGAATTGCTTGAATAGAAGGACGATAAAAATTTAACTAAAACCTTTTACCCTTCTTTTAATTTGCTGAATATTAAAAAAAAATATTACGATTTATTGCATGATAAAATTCAGAAAATAAAATAACATTAAATATTTTTTTAAGTTAATATATTTCAATTTACCCAGCTTTTCCTGTTGATTCCATTTTATTAGCAATAGTGACATCTTTTGACCAAATATCGAACTGCCATTTCCTTATTCCAATGAGGCCACACAAAATCTTTCCTGAGTGTACGCCGATTCTCATGTCAATGTTTAATGAACGTTTTTCTCTAATAATAAAAATAAGTATGATTGATAACTTTCCTTAAAAGCAGATACGTAGGTAGGTGTTCCCCGGGTTTGGAAGGGTGTACTGAAAATCGCACACACCTTACGATCAAGTGGGTATTTATACCAATTAATAAATTTATATTAACCTGACGTCCTTAATTATGTGGATCATTTCAAGTCCCAAATCAACGCAGTTCTTCGCATGTTGCGCTGTTGGCTTGGGTATACCACTGACGCAATAATAGCAGTCACCTAAGAACTTGATTCTTAGAACATCATGTTCCTGTAAATAATTGGCTTCTATAAAATCTTAGAGGATTCAATGGGTTAAAAAAATTCAACAAACATATATTATTTTTCTGTATGACAATAACTAGCGATTACCAGAAAAAATATGTATTCACGAAAAAAACTAAAACTGAAATAAATAGTCAGTGTCTTCTAATACTCATTGTGTAAATGGGTAATGCCCAGGCTTCTATTCCCGGTCAAATAATAATTTATATAATAATTAAGGGCTATAGGCTAGCTAGTTGATCATACTTAAAATGATTAGTGAAGCAGACCCACAAATATGTTTGCTGCCTTGTCACTTCAATTTCATAATCAATATAATAAACCTTACTGTTAGAATTATGTGCTATTTTAGACTTACATGCGTTTTTTAAATTATTTAATAATTTATCTTTCACATCACTTACTTCGGAGGCTTCGTCAAATCTTCCAAAAAGCTCATTTAATAACTCAACCATCCTCAAAGGAGATAATGTGGTAGATATTTGTGTATAGTTCACAACGTCAGCGTACAATATACTCACGTTGTCATGCTCTTCAACGTATAATTGGCTAAAAATTAAAGTATTTTTCAATCAATAGCGACAAAATTGACAAACTACGATTATTTTATTGATTGTATAAATATTTTAAATACTAAAAGTAAATTAAAGACTCTTGGTGATATGCTGACGGATTATATATGTATATGGATAATATATGTTTTAAGAGCGTCGGTATTAAGCACAGTATTAATTTGTCCTTAACATAAAAATATATAATATGCTTGCGGAATCATCAATCAAAGTAAGTTTTGTGTTTACAGATAACACATATTTGTACACATGTATTTGGTTTTTCTTATGGTCTAAAAAATATTTGCTCTAACAAATACGTTGCCAAATGTAGCCTCTAAGTTAGACCGTTATAAATTGGTTTTAAAGATTTTGCATAGACATTATTAAAACTATTACCTTAACTATTAATTTATAGTTAAATTCTTAACTTATATATAATTTAACAGTATTTTATACATATAATTGTTTATGTTAAAATTATCTAACGAGATTATTGTCATAAATAGGTCTAAGTATAATATAACAAGCTCACTAAAATGTACTATGAATTTCACTGATCTAAAAATGTTAGGCATTAAAAATGGATGCGACTTACCTGAAGGATTTCATATGGTGGCTATAACTGTGTGAGCGAATATTCAGAAACATATTTCTTATATCCTGTCGTACTTTGGACATGATGTGTTCTGGTAGAATGCTAAGCATGAGACGCTCCTAAAAGTATAATTTAATGAAATTTCATAATTGATAATTGTGAAAAAATTAAAATGAAGCGTAATTGAAACTGGTTGTGATTTTTTTAGTAGTATCAAAACCATAACCTGATATCCTGGGATGTGTACGGCCTATTCGCCTCTATTTATGGCTAGACTCGATATTATATGTCCACACATTGTTCTTGTAATATATACAAAGGTATGTATTTTTAAACTTGGTTTATCTTACCTCTTGCTCCTTAACGAATTTCAGCCGCAAAGTGCTTTCAACACAAGCTCGTCTATCCAAAAAAGACCTCCTAGTTATAATTTCATTCATCAACCGGAAGTAAATGCCCATGATATTAACTCCGATGAGGTATATTATGTAAGATGCTATCTGGAAAAAGAAAATTACTCGTGAGGGGAGAAATTGTCTTTATCTAATATAAATATATCGTAGTGCTTTATAAAAATTTCAGCCAATGAATAAAGGCATATAGTAAAGAACAATAAATTAGAAAATAAAAATGTTAATGTAATATAAATAAGCATATTCTTTATAAATTATCAGCCCATGCCATTGACGACTCATTGGTCTAGTGGTTACTACCCCTGACTGCGAATCCATGGGTCCCGGGTTCGATCCCCGGCTGAGACGAACATCGATGTGATGAGCATTTGGTGTTGTGCTTAGGTCTTGGGTGTTTAAATATGTATTTATATGTCTATCTATCTATAATATGTACGTATATCCGTTGCCTAGTACCCATAACACAAGCTTCGCCAGCTTAGCATGGGACTAGGTCAATTGGTGTGAATTGTCTTAAAAAAAAAAAAATACCTCTTTGGCTTCATATCTCATATCATATCATATCATATCATCTATGATCTAATGCCTGGGTTCGATTCCCGGTTAATCTTTTCTGTCACTATGCACCACGGGCTGTCCCGTGTTAACTAGAAAGATGGTCAATGAAACAGTCTAATGAGCTATTAGGAGATTACTACTCATCATTGAATGTTGTTAGCGGGTTTTTATGTATGCGGGTAGTTCTTACATACGTTTCATAGAACAACTCTAGTTTTACTATAAACTTTTGGCACTTCTAGCCATCTTGTTCATAAATACAACTGGAGGATCTGTATACCTTCTCTTAAATTTTTTCAAGTCGGTTATAAGAGCATAGATTTAGCTTCATTGTGTTTTATACAAAAATATTTTGGAAAATCAATAATACTATTCAATTATAGTAATCACGCAAGAAAATATCTTTATAATCTGTTTAATGTTATCAAGAGTGATTGATATTTTTTTCGATCGATTAAGAATGCAAATACAAACGTTATGGCGACAATTAATATTTCTTTTTACAAAAACTCGTAATTGCGAGTAGTAAATTTTGCTATAGATAGCAAACTTGACGGTGCGCCATATTTTACGAATAAAAACGCTCTGGGGGTGAGTATGTGAGTGGTTTGTAAGACGAATGACAAAAGTGTGCATTTAAACTAACATAATACGCGACACGCGTCATGATACTTCTGATGATTATTCTGATATGACTGATACCGTAGCTTTTTATTTTGACTGTTTATTTAAAATTTGCTAACTATTATGCGTCTAGACTCTAGACCAATGTTTCGCAACGTGGGGCCCACGCCCCACGACGGGGCAATTTGTTTGTTAAGGGGTTTATTAAAAAAAAAAATTGAAATTTGAATTTTAGCTTTACATTATATGTCTGAAAATGTATTTACCGTGTTTCGTTAACAACTTCCGAGTCATTTCTTCCTAAAACTTATCATTTAAGTTTCTTAAGTAAACCATTCAAATTTTTAATATTAAGAATTTTAGAAAGACTTTAGCGCAAAAAACGTTGGGAATGTCTTGGTCTAGACAATTATACATTAGCAAAATGGTATTATAGTCAAAATAAAATTGCCTCAATTACATATCGAATTATCCGGCAAGAAAAGGCACAACAATGTTCCGGCATGAGTGTGATAACTTATTTCTGCTCTGTGTATCACATTAGCGACTACACAGAGCAGTAATATAATATAAATACGCATACCCTTACCATTACCTCTCTTTGTGGGTTGTTATAATAAGAGATGAAAGCTATAACAAAGGCGTACGATGCACTCACGATGACCCCCAAAGTTATAGCAAAAAAGTTATTTCTCATTGGTAGAAAAATATACACAGCCAGTAAGGCTACGGTGACGTACGCAGGTCGGAGGTATGTATTCTCATTAGCGGAGACAATTGACACTGTTATATCTGAAAAATAAAGATGGATTACAATTGCAGGTGAAAATAATTCTAAAGGTTGTTTGAAAATACATTACAGTAATCGCAGAGTATAATTTAAAATATCTTTGTAATAAAAACAAATATTATTATTTTATATTTATTTTGAATTTATTCTATACCTTGTATATTCTATTGCATAAAGAATATCTATTTTAGCACTAAACAAAATCTATCATAGGTAGATAAGTTTTTAATCAAGTTAATCAAAATATCATTGGTATTATTTATATCGGCATTATTTAAACGACTTTATAGTCGTTTAAATAATGCCAAATTGCCAAATTCGTAACGCAAAGAGTTACTAATCATTGCTTTCATGAAAAGTGGGTGTCAGTATTGTCTATTGTTAATAATCTATGACTGAAAATTCCAATTATGATAAAAAAATCGCATAGATTGTGAATTTTGAAAGCAATATATGAACTTAGCCTGGCTGGAAGGCGATGATAAAAAATACTATTATTATATTTTACTTATAATTAACAAATAGGAAGATTAACCTATAGTCTAAACTTTTATAACCAAGAAACAAGTTGTAACAATATTACTTATTAAAATGAAAACCGATTTTAATTTTACGAAATTATCTTTATGTAGTAATCGGAAATCAAGTCGATAAGATGTATGTTAACAATGTACTAACATACCCACACACACATCAAAATATGTAAGATTATTTCATTTTATGTTAATTTAATATAGTACTTAGGTGAAAGAAAACATTTTACCAAAGCCTATGACTCTATAAATATAATGAATATAAATAAAAGTAAATAGCAGAATATGTATAAGCGCAAAACTCGAAGATGGATCAATACGAGTATTTTTTTATTCCTTTAGCTCTGAATAAGGTTTTAATGGTAACTGTCAAATTTCACTGAAAAACCTAATAAACCTTTTTTGTCTGTAATTGTCAACGTGAACAGTCTCTATGGGGTAGCATAGGAAAATGTTCCATATGCTGGTCAATAGCTACTAAGAAGGTAGGCTGAGTAAAAAAATCATGAGAAACGAAGTTCGCGCTTTATAAAAAAAATAAAAAAATGGCGCTACAACCTCTTTAGGTCTTGGACTCAGATTTCTGAATCTGTTTCGTGATCCTTTTTAAATCTAATAGGCAAGTCGGTGATCAGCCTGCAGTGCCTGACGCACACCGTCGACTTTTTGGGTCTAAGCCATGTCGGTTTCCTCTCGATGTTTTCCTTCACCGTTTGAGCAAATGTTAAATACGCACATAGAAAGAAAGTCCATTGGTGCACAGCCGGGGATAGAACCTACGACCTCAGGTATGAGGGTCGCACACTGAAGCCAATAGGCCAACACTGCTTACTTTATTCGATTCGTTTTAAAATCAAATAATACATTAATAACTATGCCTTATTTAACCTTGTTACAACTATGAAAAATGTATCAGGTAAGTTTACTCACGAATGCGAATAATTTTGGCCGGACTAGGGCTTGAACTAACTTAATATGAAAATAAATACCTGAAAGAACTAAATCCACCGTAAGAATGACAGTTGTAACTATTGGTACTAAATACCACCGCTCCTTCAGAGGAATGTAAATACTTTTACATAATAGTATTATAGGTATTCCAATACGCAATAAGTACATCGCAACTGATAGGTACGTCGATTTCCATTCTAAACTCTGAAAATATAAATTAAATCTTAGTCATACAATTATAATTTCCATGTATCAGCCCCTTTTCACACAAAAGCTTCAGCTTCTTTTCATTAGATTTATGTTGAATCAAAAAGCCTGTTAGCTTTATACAACCTTATCTGATGGTTGTGTCAAGTGTGTATGCATGTTCGTGCTTCCGTTTAGTTTCTAATACGCAAACGGAGCGTTGGTCAAGTTCCTATACACATATCTATTTATGAATTGTTCGTGGTTCGAGGGACCTTCCAATAAATCTGTGTTGGCATTAGATTACATCTTTTTTATTGACCATTTTATTTTGGCACCAAGATGTGCCGGTTTCCTCACGATGTTTACCTTCACCGTACGAGCAAGACATGGTGCACATAAACGGAAAATCTATTGGTGCACTGCTGTGATGTGAATGCATGACCCTTATGGTTGGGAGTTGCACGCTTAAACCTGGGCAACTAATGCAGTAAATCTTACTGTTTTCAAATAAATAAAACATTAATACTTTTCCACTTTCAAACCACATACCGGATTCTGTTACGGTTTGTGGTTTCGAAATTTATCTGAAAGTTTATACGTAGGGCAGATTATTGGTCTACCATACTATATGTAATGTCTATATATCATATGACAGTCTATAATATTCTCCAGGCCGATTTAATCTTCAACTCCACGTCCAACTAGCTTATATTGAAACTGGGAATTAACGCAAAGAGAGAGACCCAAATGCCTTTATTCCACGATTCCACATTATCACTCCCGTATGTCAAAATCCATTACGCTTTTGACATCCGGAAAGCGTACTTAGCGGTAAGTCTCGACTCAGAATATGTGAGTCACCCTCAGGTTTGAACTTCTATTTTTTGTTAGATTTTTCATGGGCAAGGCCTTGTGTAAATGCACGCTATAAATTTGGATGCAATTCTAACAACGATTTTTTTCATATACGTCATCGTACACAATTGCTCTCATAGAAAAATGTATTGGTGCATAGCTAGATCTTGAACATACAATGTCAAGGTATATTTTAATAAATCTTTGCTTCTTATACATAGTCAATAATTGGGAATGGGCCGGTCACATGGCCCGCATTTATGACGGCAGATGAGTCAAGAAGACCCGTACTTGGAATGGCCCAGTGGGAAGAAGAAAGATAGGACGACCACCAGAAACATGGGAAGATGGGAAAAAAGTGATAGCGCGGCAGAATTGGAAAATTGTGGTTAGAAATAGAGACAAGTGGAAGAATTTAAGGGAGAGCCTCACTCCGACGGAGTTCGAGTACTAGTGTAAAACATAATGACTTAGTGTAGTTTGGTATAGTACTCGAATAAAGGCTATACATTTTTATTTTTTAATTGGTGAAACTGAATTTAAGTTAAATAATATGCTTTCTTCTTCTTAATTGTTTGATGAAATAAAAAAAGATCTGACAGTAACAACAAAAACTTAGATCTTCGTTTAATAAGTTATTTTAAATGACAATAATATACTGACCTTATAATAAGTGCTTACTAGCACAGAAGTTATGTGAATGGTAGAAAAGAATACAAGAAGGGATACATATATATAAATCAGTGTCTCCCTTAACTTGTTGTCGTACTTTCTGTATAATCCTTCCAAATCCTTTTGATAGAACTGATCCTACGATAAAATTTATCAATGTTAACGTGTCTAAAAATGTTTATAATTAATTCAATTTATCAGTCACAAATAATCCCCAAATCGAATATTTATTTTATTACCGAAATTACACAGATTACAATATTATGACAATTGTTTTCCTTGATTTTGATGAATTCCAGATGTTTGTTTTGGATTAAGTATTGGATTAGATTAAGGTTTATAAGACGTTTTGGGCCTACTAACTACTTTATATATATATATATTTTTTAATGGCTGTGGCACGATTTGTGCATTAGCCAGCGTCAAGTATAGGATATTTTTTATAATTCGTGCTTGTCTCTAGAAATTAGCCTGGCACTGCACAACCCTCCTAAAGGCCAAGAACAAATTTAAATTAAATTAAAACTTGCCCTCGAACCGGGAATCGAACCCGGTACCCCTCACCTAGCTGCCACTTAATAAGACCGCTAGGCTATGAGGCCCCTAACTTTATATTTATTTATAAAATTGTTTCTCCTGGAAATGTGACAACTAACTCTTTGACGTCACATATTATGTAAATAATTGAGAACTAAATTTAGGATAATATTTCTTTTATATATGTACCACCTGTGTAAATTTATTTCTGTTTCATTGCATTATACATTTCATCACAAATTTAAAGGTAAGGTGATCAGCCGAACCTACACCTGCCGAAGTAATTTTTTTGCTAGGAATCGGTTCAACAACCTACAGGTGCGCCAGGCACTCAGTATGTCCATCTCATATAATTCTCTCTCTCATTTAAAAAATCGTACCCTTAAATACTTCCAGTTCCATTGTTTTCCACCCGCCTGTTCCACCTCTTGACTTCGGAACTCGTATATAGAAGACAGCACACTCGTAGCCCGGCCAGAGTTCATGGAGTATCTCGCCAATAGCTCCAGAGCTCCAACTTGTAATACCACAGAGCCGGTGGTCCGCGATAGACTGACATCCTGCTGATGTATATATTATACGTAATTATAATGATATAACATAGATACTTTATAATTAAAGTTAAAACATTCACCCTGTCACCTAAACCCTATGGAAGTGCAATAAATCCGGAAGTTTTTAGCTTAAATATTAAAAAAAGATTTATCAAAAGGGATGCGGCGGAAATGATTTTGATGTTTTTTTATTGACATCTTAATGCATAAAAAGTAAAAGTTATGTTGGTAAGTTTATATCGTCCTTGTCAACTGTAAAGTTGCTAAGAAGATTTTAATTTCCTTTACATTAAATTTTCGGTGCAGATAAATCAGCAAGAAGAGAAATCCTTGACCACAGAGTGTTGTTGACACTGCACGCGTGCCGCAATTACAAAGGTATCGTAGCACGTGATTCATACTTCATAGTTCCTCAATATGTGTGATATTAATTGGGAGTGTAAGCAAAAACTCTGGTATCGAAGTAATTGGAATACTAGTGAAAGCAACAAATATTTAACAACACGACTATAATATTCGTCCAAATATCCTTCCAACTTTATTTATATACCGTATCCTTGACTTTTTATTAACTGTTAATATATATTTTTTCATGTACGTAGATAATTCATTCCCTCAAATATGGTTGAGTAAAACGATGGCTGGCTCACACGTCATGCTTGTGAAAGATTCCGCTTCCGGCAACTGGACTGCGAGGTTTCCGTTCAGTTTTGGAATTTTATACAAATAAAGAGCGGACCGTATCTCCCTCCTTCTGGTTTCTTCTATCTATGTTTGCCATAGTCATGTTGTATGATGATTTGATATTTTAACAGCGTACCAAGAATTTTTAAGCCGGCTTTTTCTCTCGGCCTACACCCTCTGTCTTCTTTGCCGATGAGTAGGGATGTCTACCGATACAAAATGAATAAGTGATACCTGCCCTGCGATTCTGTAACTCACTGTTAATCCGTGAGTCCACTACGCAGTAACAGCGCTCCCTTCGTCACTGACGTAATTTTTGGAATCTCATGGTATTCTGTTAAGAAATTTTACATTACGTCTTGATAAGTGGAGGGAGGTAACCTAGTGAGTTGTTGTCTATTAATATCGTGACAATTGACTCATTTTATTTTATAAAAAGAATTAATTGTCAAAATTTTCATCATACATAAACAAAATATTTTTAATAAAACAAAATAGAGAACAAAATGGTTGACGTTTGAAATAAAATTAATAATATTAAAAAAAAGATAAACTGTGAAAATATCTCAAAAATGACTTATCTGATGGAAAATAATTAGCAAGATTAACATAGAAAAATTATTAAACCCATCTGGCAAAGGGGCCGCTTAAAGGTAAGTTTATTTATTAGTACATCTTAAGTTACGTATTTTGTTTATAACATTAAGAGTTTATATTTCGTATTTAGCCGACAACTGACCAGCCGTGGTGTATATGAGCGACAGAAACTTAAAAATATTAATTATGTTTCAGCACGAAACAAGGGATACCTAACATCTGGATATATTGTACAAAATTTAAGAATATTATCTTAACAAAAGATTATTATGTCACGCTAAAAGTGATTCTCTCAGCAAATGGTCTAAGGATTCAAACTAAACAGGATGGATAGGTATCTTAAATTTTCAACATATTACTAAAGGTGAGTGCCAATGTTTTCAATATTTTGTTGAGTAATTATAAAATAAAAGGGTACCTATCTATAAAGAAGAAAAATTTGTGTTTATATATTTATTCATTTAAGTGTAAGTGCAAGTGTTGGTACTTTTTAGATGCCACGAAACTACTATTGCAACCTTTTTTAAGTGATTCAGAGGTCAAACACACAACAACAATATTACCTATGTTTTTACTAACACTCTTAAAAACTGAATTCTATTAAAACTATTTTAGAAATATAATAACTATCATAGTAAATAAATAGGAATAAGCAGTGTCTAGAAAAATAGTTAACAATGTTTGTTTGATGGCAAATTTGAAGTCAAATGTAATAGGTTAAATCAAAGCGACATTGTAAAGAATAATTAAATTGTTAGTTAAAAATGTCAAATATAAAAAATATTTTTAGGTTTTCTAACTTCAAATTCCATTCATGAAATATAAGAAGTATTGTTCAGATTTCAGAACACAAGTATAAATAATCATGTTAGGTATGTTGGATCAAATATATAAGCTTTCAATTGCTCAAATTCATACCATTTCAAGTGATCAACGTTAATTTTAAATGTTGGAAATGACATTGCCATAACTTATTTAATAAACATAGAAGCCATCAAAAGATAGTTAATCTATTTTAGTTGTTATTATATTGTAGTCAGCACTACACTTTAGCACTAAACATACCCTTTATGGGTCTTGGATTTGTTTCATTAATAAATAATTGTATTTAAAGTACATACTTAGATTTGCTCAAGAATTTTTTTTATTCATAGTACTGAATCAATAACTGTGTGCGAAATTACTAAGCTTTGTTACCATAAAACTTTCAATAATATTTGGCTTAGTTATAATATTATCAAACATGTTTTTAAGATACTTTACTTAGAAATACAAAGATATCCCATAAAGTTTTTGTGTGTTTTATGCAAGTTTTTTTATTATTTTCCTTAACTTTACAATAATTAAATTGTTATGCAATATTATTGTGTCAGTACAGTGACCTACCACATCTCCCTATTTACAATTTTAACACATAACTATTGTATTACAGCCATCAGCGGTAGTTGTCAAGAATGAGGAAGAAAATGACCAATTATTGAAATGTTAAGAAGAGATATTAAACCGAGACCACAAATGTATTTTGAATGCAGTTTGGACAACTATGATTTTTATATGAAAAATTGTATTACCGTGTTTAAGATAATTGTGTACTTCATAATAATTTTTTTGTATCTAATAATATTGTTATATTAATAAAATGATTAATTAAATCTACCACTTATTTAATGACTGCCTATAGAAAACGTAGTAACCGAGTTAAATACATAGCTAAGCCGAAATGAAAATATATAAGCCATGTTACTTTATAGGTGAATAAAAGAACAATATAATAACTTACACATTTAATTTAATGATTATAGTAAACTTTTAACACACTACAAAATAACTTTCAGTAAAACAAACTTAAGTATAATAAAACTAATTAAAACCCAGCCTCACATAGAGCTAATCAATAACATCTACTTTATTTTGTAGACAAATATATTTATTTTAATATATTTTCTAATTAGTTTGTATAAAGTAATAGTTATGAACGATAAATTTAAAAAGCTTAATAAGTACTTAAACCATCATGTATGTAATGATGGTATTTCATACTTGTGTAAAGCAGAATAATGTTTTTATCCAAAACCTTAATGTTATATCAATATATTTTATAAAAATATAGGAACTGAAATTGTACTGTGTTATCATTTATTATAAATTGAAGGATAAGTAGTCGAAATTCAATAATTTGAAAATGTCTGCACTATTGTGTCTTTTTATATCCAGGGGCCTTGTCGTATGATACAAATGTAATATTCTTCTTCTTCAAAGGCAGAATGTATTTTTCTATCAGAAATTTTGAACATTTGGGGATCTCTGAAATTATTAGATTTATAATTTTAGTATAGTAGAAAAATACAAATATAGGTATAACAAAATTAACCTATCTTAACTTATTTATCGTTTTCTGTTCGACTTATCTCTGCTGGAGACAAGACATGATCAAGACTGCATCGAAAAATTGGTTCTAGGATCAAAATGATATTTTTAATGCTAAAATAATGAAAATGTTTACCTTAGATCATCTATTTACTAGACTCTTCGTTCATCTCAGTAGCATATGTTCTAGGTTTCGTCAATACCATATAATTTCTTGAGTATTGGAAAAAAGCGATAGTAACCAACGCCGAGAAACCAATTGGTCGTTTCGTGCCTACATTTTATTTTTTAATGGTTTACATCATTTATTTCTTGAAATAGAGGTTTAAACTTTAAAAGTGGAAACGGGCCTTCTGTAACAATAACAAAGTTCAATTTCACGAAGCTTAATGTTTATATATATAATTTTTTTCGTAAAATAATGCTGTATTGATAAATATTATTTTATAAACTTACCCCAAGATACATATAGATTGTCCTATGTTAGAATATTTTCACATAAAACAAGTTTTAACTTCGCTAAAAATGGCTAACTCACTGGTAAATGACGATTTCAGCGAGGGAAGAGCAACTTTTAATTTGACGTACAAAATGTACATTTAAGTGAGATGAGATGTCAAATGGTATGTATCAGAATACCAAATACCAACAATTTTGGAGCGTAAGTGTAGCAGTGCCAAATTTTAGTTCCAAATGTGAACAATCTCATTTGAGCGGCGCTTTTGTCGCGGTTATTGTTTATCAGAATACCAAATTGTAACATGACACCGAAACGAACGATTTGACAGCAAAAATCAGCGCTGAGGGTGTGTGAAGCGAGTTACAGAATCGCAGGGCTGAATCTTATATTCCATAATAAACAAATTTTATTTATTTTATATTACGAAGAAAAATAGCGTTAGGTATCCAGCATATTTTACACTAAATATTTTGACGTGTGTAATACACAAAAGGAACAGTCACCTATGGTTAGTAGATTATAGACCCACATAAACCGCTTTTGTATTATTACAATAAATAACATTGGTTCCCTGGAAGAGATCGCTCGAAAGCAATAAGGCCGCCAGTTTCCCTCCTTGTCATTTAATTATCTCAATTGTATTACATTTCTGTAGATGCAACGAAGTGTTAATAAATAAATAAAAATATGTATGTAGCAAAATACTATTGAAAATATATGAAAATGTCTATTTTAACATCTATAACATCAAACATCAATATGGTAATATACTAAATTTGTTAAATTGCGAACGGGTAATTACCTATACAAACAAACAATAATACTGGACAAAGCATGATAACTGATGATTCATTACTATGATAAGGACACTTCAACCATTTATTCAATGGCACAGTGCTGATAGCATTATCTATAGGAATGCTTGTTAGGAACGACTAGTTGCTACTAATTGATAGGCAAGTTAAAATTCTCCGACTCTAATGATAGTAGATGATAAAAATTTGCTTATTCAATAAAAAAAATAAGAAATCAAATCATTTGACATTATTAATCCACTACGGGTTATTAAGGTACAAAATTGCTTCGATTCAAAGTATTATTTATAATAACATAGTCAATAGTGAAAACAATAGAATACAAAACTACAAAATTGATTCAAAAATCTAAGTTTTATTCAATATTTTAAAAATGAATTAAAAAACTCATTACACAAGCGTATCAATAGCGTTAATCATAAATAAAGTAGTTTCACTTATTCATTCATTCAACCAAATCATTACTTCGACCAAGCCTCTTTAGATAGGCGTAAAGACGCGGATATATAAAATAAAACTCAACTTACCATGACTTACTCTATCGTCACAACATCGAAGAAAACAACACGATTCCACCACTCAGTAGTAACTGGTCAAGAAGCTTGGCACTTGGGATCGAATAACGCTTCTGATAATAATTTGATAAGCGCCACTTGTCTGACTTAGGAATTAATAGATTACGATAATGTATCACCTTTCATTACAATCAGTTGGGCAAATTTTAAATTAGATTTGCGGTTTTTTTTCCTTTGCAACAATCGGAGCTTTATTTACTTATCAACATTTTTACATGTTCCTTTTTTTAACTCGTTTTTTCAAGTAAGAATTTGGTCCTATCAGATATTTCAATTTAATTAATGTAATCACGTTACTATTGAATAAAAAAATATAATTGAGCTGTTAGGATCACTACAAGGACAATTAAGAAAATAAAATCTACTGGAAACCAAGAAAATACTACGAAACTAATAACAGAAAACTTTAATATACACCATTTCTAATGCCACGTGTATAACAAAATAATTTATTCCTGAAGTGATATTAAAATGCTTAAGAGAATGCCGGCGAAACATAACTTCGATTATTTCAGTAATCGCTGTGCTTTTAAAATTAAGAAAAGAGTTCAGAAATGGTTAGTCTTAGCTGGAACAATTTTTCAGATAAAAAATATGCGCACATTATATTTATACAAATATTAAATTTGATAGATTCAATTGTTATGTATTGTAGTTTTAATCTCAATTTAGTAAATAAGATATTAGTTTACACATATACTAAGTTCATACATTTTGATAATGTTAAAATGAAAAAAAACTAACTGTTAAGTCACGACTGAATCTAAGTAACGTTTAAAGACGTTTGAATAAATGTTTGTCTACCAGTGGCCTCGTTTTGTAAAAGGTGTCAATTATTAAACGAGGATCTCATATAAAAGTTACAGGTTGGGTAAAAATATGTAACTTTATTTAAAATGTAAAAGCGATTGTCACTGTAGAAATAAAATAGACATATATTAATATTTTTATGTATGTTATTACTATTAATAACATACATATATACAAAACGGGAGCTCAACTTTCCCGGCCAAAAAGACGCCCTAAGAAACATACTAATAAATGATTTGGGGTACAGCTTTAAAAAATGTAAACGAAAACGCGATTTTTTGGTGCAAAGACCTGAAATAGCAGCCTGGAGAGCAAAATATTTAAGGCGACTGAAAGAAAATGACGAACGTGGTGCCGAAAAAAACCAGTTACATTTATCGACGAAACCTGGATACATTCACACTATACTGTCTCAAAATGTTGGCAAAATAGTAGTGATTCCAGTGTCCGAATAAATCACTCTCCTGGTCAGCGCTGGATTGTGGTACACGCAGGTAATGAGAACGGTTTCATACAAGGAGCCGAGCTCCTATATAAGTGTAAATCAACAACCGGTGATTACCATGACGAAATGGATGCGTCCAATTTTACCAAATGGATTAAAGAGAAATTGATACCGAACCTTCCACCCAACGGAATAATTGTCATGGACAACGCGCCCTATCACAGTAAGCAGGTAAATAAGCCGCCAAATTTCAGTGCACGTAAAAACGAAATGCAAACATGGCTGCAAGAACACAACATCGAATTTGATGACAAAATGACTAAAAGAGAACTGTATATGTTGATTCAAAGAAATAAACCTGAGAAGGTATATTTCATCGATGAAATATTTAGAGCTCATGGACATGAGGTATTACGTCTGCCACCCTACCACTGTGATCTCAACCCTATTGAGTATGTTTGGAATTTGATGAAACAAAGGGTGGCAGACAAAAATATTGACCAATCAGAAAAAGATATAGAAAGGTTAACAAAGGCAGCGATCCAAAGTATAACCCCGGAAGATTGGAAAAAGAATGCAACCATGTTGATCGCTTAAGAGATAAGTTTTGGCATAATGACAGATTATATGAACATGAAGAACGCGAATTAATAATTTCATTAGGAGGAGAAGACAGTGACAGCGAAACCGAAGACAACATTTTGAGTGATAATATAGAAGATGACGAAAACGACAGCGCTACCATGTCTGGTGTCGAGGCTTTTCTAGAATAGTTTCGCCACTTTCTCTTCCTCTCTACTTTTTCTTTGTATTATTTGTAAATTTGTAAATAATTTGAATTTTAAATAATGTAAATAATAAGTATTTGTAAATTTCAAGTAGGTACGAGTATCAATAAAAATAAGTACACAAATAAAATATTTTTTATTTTTACATCTTCAATTTTTTTGCTATCTCTCCAGTTTGTATTACGTCATTAAGCCAGGTTCGCAGATATTTCCGACGACTTGTAAAAATACTCTTTTATTCTGTAGTCTATTACAGACTGTAGTGTTTATAAATTATATATTAATATTATTTTATATAGTGTTATTATATTATATATTATGTTTATAGATTATTTGCTTTACCCTATATTCTATATAATTTATCAGTAAATAAATTCCACTGACTTATCATAGTAGTAGAGGGTTTTGGCAGTGTGCAATTTACGTAACTACTAAAATTGGCTTAGCGAATAAGTGTGTAATTCTCAGTGATTGGCTAATAGAAATCTACTAATTGTATTGTCTTTTATTGACATAACCTTTACACATTTAAAGAAAACACTTTTTAACCGGATTGAAGTTATGTGTTATTATAAATTTACAATTATTTTACATTATTTTAAATTTAACCGACGTTTCGCGTGCTTTACACGCACGTGGTCGGTACGTGCGTGGTCACGGTGACTGAAGATAAAAGGTGTTGAATGTTAAAAAGTATCACAGCTGTAGAAAAAATATTTAAAGTAAAAAGTGTTTTCTTTAAATATCTACTAATTACCACTTGCTACTACGTTAAAGGAACACATCGTGCTGGCTGATTGCCTGTAAATCTAAATAAACAACGAAAATTTTTAAGGTTCAATTAGCAAGTGGCAGATGTCATGGAAAGGGGTTCATTATACTAAAAAAGACTTTACCTAAAAGCTGAAAACAAAGGCCTTATTGTTATGTGAGTTAACATGTAACGTAGTCCGCAGGTAATATTTTTCACAGTTTGTTCATGTCTATTTACTGTAACCATACAAGTTGTGCAAACTATCTGGTTGTGTCGTCATCGTTATGTGGTAAAACCAGGTTCTACTTTTATTATTTATTTAGATCATCAGACCCACAGACACGCCCATATATTTGTAGGTAACAGACATTATTAACAGACAGTAGATCTGATTGTGTGATGAATTTATGCAATAAGGTTGTTATCAATATTTATTAAAAAGGGAACACAACCCAAATTAATCTACAAATCGTCCGTATTATATTCTATAAAAATTATTCTCAAACTATATTTTTTACACTTGCTGTTCGTGCGTAAACTAAAAAGAATGTGTTAAGTATTAATAGATACAATAACATTTTATATAAAATTTAAATATAACTTACGTAAAAAATTCTATATGAATGACACTTACATTTGTCGATTCATGCCCTCTATTACTGCATGTTATAACTAATACAAAAACAATAAGGTTTTGTTGTTGTAATAAGGAAATAGACAATAGATGTCATGGTTTACAGTAGATTAAGCTTGACATAGAAACTAAAATTAACTTGAAGAGACAAAATAAAGAAACAGAAGAAAATAAATTTTGAGTTTGCTACTCTGTGTTTTATTCACACTCACACGCGCTACAGTTCTGACCTTTAGTGTTATTATTTATATTTGTACTCGGTGAGGTCCAACGTGGTTCTTATGTCTTTAAATAGGCTGTGATTCTTACCGTTTTAATAAATTATTAAGCCTAACATGAGAAGTAATAACAATTACAAAGTGTAAATAATTTTGATCGTCAAAATGGCATAAGTCGTAAATAAAATAAAAATAAAATAAAATTTGTTTATTATGGAATATAAGATTCAGGTATCACTTATTCCACGTCATTAAATTTGAATATGTAGGCATCCCTACTCATCGACAAAGAAGACAGAGCGTGTAGGCCGAGAGAAAAAGCCGGCGTAAAAAAATTCTCGGTACCTACTCTTTTAAAATAGCAAATCATCAAACAACACTTATTTTAAAACAAATATAGCAATTTATTTAGAAGTAGCCTGTCTAGTACTAGTCCCAGGCCCTTTTATCAAGTAGATAATCGTTAACTTTATAGTAAGCCTTTTTACACAGCTTTTCTTTAATACATTTCTTAAATTTATTAAAAGGCAGAGATAAAAGAGCCTCTGGGATTTTATTAAAGAAGAGTATCCCTTTTCCCAAAAAAGAATTACTATCTTTAGATAGTCTAGTTTCTTTAGGTAGTCCGAGTATTAATGATAAAAAATACAATGCTATATGAACTTGTAATTAATACAAGACATTATTAAAGTTATAGAGATATAAACGCAGCGATAATAATAATATTGTTTACTTTCAGAAAACGATCTTTAAATAACAATGTGACAACTCAATATAGAACGTCTGACACGTGTAGGTATTAGAACATAATTCCAAAAGGACGTTTACAAAAAGACAACGCCCATTACTTATTATCACGTACAAAGGAAGGACGGATGTTTATGAAGAACTGACAGATGTAGCCATCAAAAGGTGTCTCTATGCTAGACCCTAGTAGCACCCATAGCAAAAAGTTTCCTGTCATTGTATCCTTGTAACAAAATAGGCAATATTTCATACGATTTAACTGCTCTTTCTGTGAAACGCCCAGATATTTTATTGCGATCAAAAGAATACGCCTTACAATGTTTCTTAGGATTATGATGTTATTTTTTGCTTTCAGCGAAGTTAAAAGTTAATTTTAAGCTTTTGTTCACTTTATGGACGTGTGGGAAATCGCATCTGTATTTGTGTTCTACTATACATCAAACTGACGATTCAATCTAGTATCCACATATTTATGTCTGGGTTTCTTATATAGAATACTAGTCGTATTTTCAACGAGTCGTATTTCTGCATGTAGTTCTAAAGCGCATTCGGTCAGCCA